AAAAAAAGCCTAATGTATCTTTTTGATGAATTTTGAAAGTTTCCCCCAAGTTACAGTTACTAGTTCTGTGACTGAAAAATCTTGCGTCTAAATTTCACTAAATGCGCCGTGATGTATGGGCAAAAAGTCAATCTGGCCCCTAAAAAATCTTCAATGGCCCCTAAAAATCGAGCTTGATGCGCCACATGGCTCCTAAAACTCAAAGGTGAGTTTCGAACTCTGGTCCTGGCCTTCGAACGCCCTTTTTTTTTTTTTTTTTTTTTTTTTTTCTTTCTTTCTTTTTTTTATTATTAATACCTACCAACGTTGACTTTCGCTAAACTTCACACGACATTTTCGGCTCTGGAGATTTAAATTAAGTATGGGAATAAGCTCCCTGAAGTTGTTTGCACTCTAACCTGTAGCGTGGCGGACTTAGCGATGAATTGACTGATCTGTCATTCGAACCAACGGAAAAGAATCGATTATCAGGGTGTCCGTGACGAACACGAATCGATTCTATGGTGGTGCTTTAAATATGGGAAAATATCAATAGTCGATTATCACGCCCCTGACTCTGTAAGTACTGGAATGGCACCGGCTGGAGTTGCCAGAGTCGACACGTTGCTCTTGAGCAGATCACCCAAACTTTTTCCACGAATTCCCGGACTTCTCCCGTTCGTTGAGAATTCTCCGAATTTCCCGATCCTCCCATAGAGTAACTTGAGTCGTAATGTAATTGGGAGAGCTGGCACCATGTTCTGCTCGACGAGTTCCGAGCCCGGTGTGCGCCGAGCTTCGGTCACTTTTTCAATACATGTTAGATCTAAAATGGTGGTGCGGAATACGTGGTGATCTCTGCCTTCTTTGTTTACATCGGATGGCCGGGTGCTGGTACTCTCGTGTATCGAAAACAGTCGATCATGTATCGAAAAAGTAACCCGGCGTCACACAGGAGTCTCGGAATTTCGGGACCTGGAAATTGCTTGAAAGTGGTGCCAGCTCTCCCATTTACACTACGACTCTATGTACTCTATGGGTCCTCCAGACGTGGGCCAAGCAGTTCGGCGACTTTAAAATAATCCCTAAATTAACAACCCTAAAAATTGAGAACTTTGGCCTCGAAAAAGAGGAATGCATGCCTGCAGAGCTTACCACGACTCTGATCTGAGGGAAACCCGTTAAACGCGGTTTTATCGAGTGGATATGGTCGGAGAACCTCGAGTTAGGTACAAGTTAAAATCTCAACTTAAAATTTTAATCAATAATCTATAACGATAAAAGAAAACTCAGTCTAATAATATTTGTACATCTTGAAAAGTATCACTTAAATCCATAGGTACCTAACTAAAAATGAATGAGCTGGAAAAAAATTCGCTACGTAAAAATAAGTGGATTGTACCGAGGGAATCATATATTCGGCTAACAACAGATTCACAATTTAAGTAAAATAAGAGAAAATCCTGTATTACTAGGTATAAAAAATATATAATTAGTTATTTTTATTTTTCTTTAAACCAGGAACTGTAGTAACTAGTGGTACATTTTATTGTAGAACAAATAGGTAACATTTTTTTTTTTTATGATTTTGCGATTCTTACTATTATTATCTATTTTATTACTTTAATCTAGTGGTTTTCATAGTGTAAGTATGTTAAGATTTGTTCAAAATTTTAATACGTTAGGAATATATTTAACGTCCATCAATAAAACAAAAAATATTATCATAGTTCTGTGTGAATCAAATTAGTTCAGCCACGGATTTTCTGATATTACAAGTGATGTTCTTTGGTTATTACTACATTTTCTAACGATCGAAATAAAGATATTCAATTTTTCAGTGTTTTCAATTAGTCTCCGAGGTAGTGTTTCATTTGCCTCTTAGGAGGCATCACTTCAAATTGCATCCATCGGATTGAAGGCGAACTTGATTTCTCGTTACTGTTTTTAGTTATTAGAATAGGAGCGCGAGAGAGGGCTACATTCTAACTTTTGCGACTTATCTCAATGACAGTAACAAAATCTTTTTCTGTGTGGAGAATGGAGTAAAAGTTACAAGACGATCCGCTGCAACTAAACATACGAAGATCGTAACAAAAGTCACTCCGTTAAATGTCCTCCGGACATCACGCTGAACTAAAATGCGTGATACAACTATATCAACTCCTGAGCCGCTCAAATTGTGTTCATCGAGTTGAAGGCGAACTTAATCTCTCGTTCCCGTTTCCAATTGTTCCGGAGCGTGTAAAAGGGTCTACATTTTAACTTTTGCAACTTATCTCGATGTCAATTATAAAAAAATTTCTGTGGGGAGAATCGAGTAAAAGCTATTGGACGTTTCGCTGCGATGGTCATTAAAAATTAACACGAGGATTACAACAGCCACTCGTCCCTGGACATCACACTGAGCTAAAATGCGAGATATAACTATTTGATACTTAATTGAGCCGCTCAAATGCCATCCCAGGGTTGCAAGTTTAACCAAATTTCAAAATTTCCTGCCTTTTCCCTGATATTCTCTATGACTAACTTATTGGATTGTAACCAACGACGCTAAAATTCTTTGACATTTCCCTGACTTTTTTAAAATAAAGAAGCAAAAGGTTCATCGAGGGGCTTGGAGGACAAGGCACATAAGTGCAGTTTTTGGTGTACGTTTTGAAATATGTGTTTGAATTTTCGAAATTACACGTATCCTTATGGCGGAAAGAAATTTCAAACTGACTTTTTGATACTTAAACATCCCTGGTAAAAATTGCCAGTAGAATCTGTGTTCCAAAATACCATAGACCTACAGCCGGCTGTAAGATTTCCAATAGCTTCTATAGCCGGCAACATAATTTCTTATAGCCTTTTATAGCCGATGGCGATTAAGCAACAGCCTGGCGACAAAGTTTACGCTAAACGTTATTAATTACGGATGCTAGGACTTAGTGAGTTTTTGGACTACCGCTCTCTTTTTAGGCCGCATCTTGATTTAATTTGCGAGGAGCGCTCCGTACTTTTGAAGGATGCCTGCCATTCCTAATATGTTGGAGCGCCTTCAATTTAGTATGATACTGTGCAATAATTCTGGTGTGAAATAGTTGCTTCAAGCGCCGCGGACGGGAGCCAGCGCTGAACGCGCATTGGCGCCTACAAACCTAACAGGGATACTTCACGCATTGCGTAATTCGTGAAGTATCCCTGTTAGGTTTGTAGGCGCTAGTGCGTCGCCGCTCCGCTTTGTGTTAGGCTCTGGTATTTAATCTCGCGGAGTCAGCGTTTTTCAACTCATGACTTGGAAATGTTTGCACACTCCGTGTGGATTATTCTCATTTTAATTGATGAAAAAAAAAATATGTAGTAAAGGAAAATATAATGTGCGTTTTGTAAACATTAAGGTGATCCCGTACAAATTTAAGGATTTACAAAGTACAAGAATTTCTACACAATTTCTTATAGCCTTTTATAATCGATGGCGAAAAAGCAACAGCCAGGCGATAAAGTGTAAAGCCCGGCGATAGGATAACTATAGCCCGGCTATATAATTTTTATCGCTTCGTGTAGCCCGGCCGTACGATTTTTTCCACTTTCTACAGCCACTTATATGATTTTCTATCGCCCTCTTCAGTCGGCTATAAGATCTCCTATGATATTTTGAAACGCAGCTCCTTTCGCCAATTTTTACCAGAGATTGGACTTTGGAAGCGAATATTTCACAGAGTATGCCTTGAGACTAGTTTTACTTAAAATCATTAACACCTCAATTTTTTCGAAAACTTCACATATGCGCCTTGTCCTCCAAGCCCTCCAATTAAAAAAAAAAAAACAGCAATGCAAATTTCGAAGCACCGGAATCGTATGCCTGAAGTTGAAACTTGCAAATAACCCGGATACGACAATATACAGACTGTTTAGAAATATTGCAAATTACTTCATGCCAGAATTGGAAGAAAAGGTAGAAAAACTAATCAAGAACAGATCGGCGTTAATAGTTATTTGCCAAGCCAAAGCGTCAATGGATTGAGATTATGATATTTTCGTATCGTAGAGACTGCCACGTTAACGTTAAGTGTGCGATTATGGACCCACGTAGACCATTGCGTTTTCATGGGCATGGGCGGGAGGTTTGAATTCACGCGTCGAGAAACATTAAATCGGCAGAGCACAGGGGAGCATTCCATGAGCCGCCCTGCGCCGTCTGCAGCACGCATAGCGCACGACTCGCCTTTCATTATTACACTTTAACTAGCGTTGAGAGTTCACTAATTACTTCACACGGCCAGTGTGTAATTTTAAAAGTCGAAAATAAAAAGGAAAATTTACACGATATACGAGTTTCTCCGCCAGGGAGCTCTCCCCACAAGAAAGCGTTCGGCACCCACCCGTTTGGGACGCCGTGGCGTGCTGCCAGCGTAAAACGCGCACTGGCCCCTACAAACCTAAGGGGATACTTCACGCATTGCGCAATGCTTGAAGTATCCCCTTAGGTTTGTAGGCGCCAGTGCGGGTTTCGAGCTGGTAGCGGCAGCACGCCGCGCCGCAGCGTGCCATAAACTTTCCGTCAGTTAATAATAGGTCAGGGTGTTAAAATGTAGGCAATTTGACATCAAATTCTAAATTAGCAACTCAAAACAATATAGGTTTGGAAACTTTCGTGATCTTTCAGTCATTATCCGACTTATTTCTTCCTATTCTTGAGTTTTGGACCATAGTGCGCCGCGGGTTGGTGGCTGCTCATGAAATTCTACCCTGTGCTCAACCGACATTAAATATGTTGGTTAGGAGTCAATTTCAGTGATTTTCGTTGCACAAATCATGTTCTACGTTAAATTTTAATTTTAATTTAGAAATATGTATAAAAATGCTTAACTTCGTACCTTGTCTAGTGGTCCATTTTGTTTTTATGTATACAAGAATTATTATGTGTCACAAAATCGTCACGAGGGTGAGTGTCGAAAGATCCTGAAATCGTTCCGTGTTTTATGAACGGCCCGCCCTCACTCAAATTACGGTTATTATTTAAGTATGCTTTTTGAATAAAAGCGACATTTTTCTAAATGATGGCAATGCTCAGCGGCACAATGACTGGATCGTCCACAGAGCTAACAGCGTGAAGATGTCGCATTTGCATGCGAAAAAATTAATTGAAGCGCTACTGACTGATTTTCAGCTCAACAATATCCCAAGAAGCATTTCTCAACAGAAAAATCGCTAAATATTACGATTTTATCGGCGATAAAATCGCTAAGGGCCGAATTTTATCGGTCCCTCCATCGTACTTAAATATACTTAGGATGGGTCTCGACTGCACTTAAGTCCGGCTTAGCGCTTCTGATTGGCCGGTGGTGCGGTTTGGACTCATCGATGGATGTTGCAGCACTCCGTGCGAAAGAGCCGACAAAATTCAAAAAATTCGGCCCCTGGATCGAGGATCATCAACGTCTAAGTGATTACCTATCCGCGATCTTATCGCGCTTTTATCGCCCAACAATACATCGCGATATTTTCGAAATAAAAATCGCGATAAATGGCGACTTAATCTCGATCTTATCGGCAAAAATTGATCACGATTTTATCGAACCAAGAATTGCGATGTGTAGCGATTTAATCGCCATAGGTATGTCGCAATTTTTAATGCTATAATATTTCAATATATTACCACCGATATAATCGCGATAACCAACCGATAAAATCGCTATTTATCGCGATCACTCCTACTTGGTATGGAGATCAACGCAAATCAGACCCCACTTGCACCCTGTTAAGTCCGATTAAGACCTTTCGTGCTCAGGGGTCAGGGTAGACATGATACAGGGTTATTCAAAAGTCACGCACCACTGGCCATAACTTAAGTTCTAATTTAGATATCGATATGCGGTTTGTGGCGTTTTTCCTCATATTGAAAGGCAAACTTTTTCAGGTACTTTCCAGTTTTTGACCCCCTCAGGGGGAGGGAGGGGGGCGGGATGCAACTCAAAAATTTCAAATGGCCGCCCCCCTCATGGCCAGTGGTGCGTGACTTTTGAATAAGAATAACCCTGTAGACCTATGAAGTCAATGAAAAAATTTAACTGGCACGGGATTCCTGCTGTTACATGTGCTTTGTCCTTCGGTCTTGAAACGTAAAGTCCATTATGGTTGAAAACTTTTATTGAATTTGAAAATTTCTCGCTTGTTAAGAGGGTTAAGCAAAATTATTTCTTCGTTTTTTTACGGATTTTTAAGTCAAGTCCCTTAAAAGTAAATGAAATGCAAAATTTCGGTGCTTGGAGGCAGAAGCTGCTTCTCACAAACCTGCATTTGGTATACATAAAATAAGACATTTGCAGAAGAGGACATTTTCAATTCATTTGTCTTGTTCTGATATTGATTTAGATTTTTATCTGACAAACTTTTGAGTTATATTTATTGAAGAATAAATTGATCACAAAAGAGTATAAAGAATGATCAGAACCTAGGGGTAAAATTTCGAGGTTCAATGAGAATATTTTCTGAATTTCCACCACTGAATTGAATTTCTCGATTTTCCCAGGTTTCGTCTTACTCTTCCAGCTCCAGTACAAGGGGTCCTCAAAACTGCCAAAGCTGCTCTTGAGATCATTTAATGAAATCTGGCAATATCATCTTGAACTTGGAGGGAGTGCAGCGTAACAGGTGGAGAGTATAGAAGCGGCGGCCACTTAAGCGGAAATCTGAATTTAACTCTCTCCGAGATCTGTCTTAATACAACCTACTAAACTAATTTTAAACTTGAATAATAAAGTAATATCTTCCTTCATTAAGGAGCATTTACTTGAAGATAACCCTTTAGGCCCATTGGAAGTTTAAAGCACATCTATTCTCTGAAAACTATACCTTGTAACATTTGATTTGTTCTTTTAATCTGCAATTACAGATGTCTCAAATGTACCTCAGCCCTTCGGGGGCCATGTGGCAAAAGTATGTTCAATTGTAGTCAGTTATTTATTAACAAAAAAGGTTCCAAAATTTCACCAGCCTGACCATAGAAAAAATTCAATGCAGGTATTACTTACATGATTATTATTTTATGCAGTTATTATATAGTAAGTGGTGACCCTGCAGACTATGCACAAAGTTTTACTGTTGCAAAATTAGACTCTTATGCAAGAATCAGTAGGGTGAATAAAAAAGAGAAATAACAGGGAAAATTTGCATTGAAGCATTTATATTTTGTTGAAAAATTGAGAAAGAAAATAACAATGTATAGCTAGGAATCTGTACAAAAATTAACATGTAAATTTTGACTTTTATACAAATGTTCTATCTGCTAATGGTGACAAAGCAAACATCGATTTCATGTTGGAATATTTTTTTTTTTTCAATACTCAGATTACAATGATATGTAGGACTGTTGACTGAATATTTTGAGTTTAAGTTACCCTCTTATTGGACAAGATCATGCTAAATTAAACTTTAATGGAGCATGAATAACTATTTTCATTCTGAATGATAAGGAATATAGGTTGGTTTTTGAATTTGTATCCTTTACACTGTCATTATATCCTGATCGTAAATGTTCATGGAAGATTAAATTTTTGTTAATTTTAGGTCTGTGGAAAGAGGATTTGAAAAATGTGTAATTAGTTTGATTTTATCGGTGTTTAGAGTCAATTACTATTCAAGAAGTTACCCTGTCATAAACAGTTTTTGTAGATCTTATTGATTATTTAACACACAGAAATTTACCTGTAAACATTTACTTACATTTATGTTCTACCATTTTGAATTAATTATTTTTCCTAGTTTAGTGATAATCTTGTAGTTAAAAGACAATATTATTAATATTAATAATAATATTCTTTAATATTATTTTTGGAGACATTTTCCTTACAGTTGTAGGTGCAGATCCTGAGTGCCTACTACTGAGGAAAATTGACTTTCAAAACTGAATAATTCAACAATACATCAGAGTCTTTTAGACATTCCAACTTTAAGAGGAAAATTTAATTTTGATTGCAGATTGGTCCCTGAAAACTTACAATTAGCATTGTACTAGAAACCCATTTTCAGGAGCTATTTTTTTATTCATTTTTAAAATTCTAGACAAACAATTTCAAGTAAAGGCATGTCTTCAAAAGATTGAGAAATTAAATTTTTTTACAATAATATCAATGAGTGAAAACAGTTCCTTACGATTAAAACTACACGAAATTTTCTTAAAAAAAGTTGAGGTTCTCTGGGACTTTCTTCACGATTTAAGTGGCGAAAAGATGAGATGATCGAAGGATATTGCGGGTAACAGAGTTACTTATTTTTCTTTTTTGTTTTGTGTTAAAAGTAAAAAAAATTACAAGGAAGCTTGAGGCACAAACACACTTCGACCTAAATACTCGGGCAAAAAATAAAGCTCTTTGCAAAGGATCACCTGAGATAAGTTTTACTTGAAATGCCCAATATCATAATTTTATTAAAATTGTTACTCAACTTTTATATCCTCACTACCCTTCAATCATTGAGGCTGATACTTCCATTATTTAAATTTGACCATTTGACTACTCATATCATAGCGGAATACAAGGTTAAAGTGTAAAATGGTTTAAAAGAAATAGCTTTGACTTCAGAATCATTACCTACTCCATGAGATAATTCGATTGAATCAAAAAATTGATCAAACGACTGTAGGTGTGTGAAAAACTAAAAAATCCAACAGGTTCAAGCAACTTTGAGTTAAAACAACAACAATAAAGTTATCGGTGGGATATTCCACTCACCATCCTGATCCGGTGTTTGCCAGACGGCGCATTCGGCTGCAAAAGAGAAAAAATAGGAATGATCAATTTGTAGCGCTAGCTAGGAAAGAGCGAGATCAAAGGAAAAAATGAAATTAATCCTTTAAATTAAGGTTTTTTAAATCCCGGTGTGGTGTTAGCCAACCTTCGCATTCGGCTGAAAACAAAGAAAAAAACAATTATTAGCTCTTGAACGGAGAGGACTCTTTGATTTCATGCAAAAGGAGAAATAGTGGAGGGTAACTACTTGCAAAATATCTTAAGTATTTTTCAAAGTGTTAGTTATTACTACATATTAGATATCAGTGACTCATCCTCAAGGCTTTTGAAGAGAGTGTGTTGCAATTCGATGGCAAAAACAACAAGACCATAAATCTTGGTTGAAAAAATTCAAAATTTCTGCCAACATTACTTTTTAACTAGAGAATGCCTGCTCAGTAAAAAAAGAAAAAAAAAAAAAGATGGAAGGGTGCTGCCATAAACGATGTGTGAAAACATCGTTGCAACGTTTCTGCAAACGCTTTGCCTGGCAGTTAGATTATGATTTAAAATTATAACAGCATGGTCATAGAACGGTGAAGAAATATAAGGGGAAATTTCAAGCTAATTCCTTTCAGTTGGAAAAAATAAAGTAGGTCCAGGAATTTTGAAATTGTTCTAGTGTTATACTTGATTTTGAGCTTCCACCATCGAATATCTGCACAAAAGATATGTCCAGAGGAGGACAGGATTAGGCATGAAAAAAAAAGTTACTGAATGAAATCAGACGTGAGTAAAAAAATATTGAAAGTGCTTGGAAAAAGTAAAAGATGTGAGGGATAAGTTACTCAGTTATTATTTGCAGGGATAAGCATTTAAGCTATTCATGTTAGTTCTAAGCATTATATAGTTGCATCTATTACATAATCTATCTATTAGAATCTCAGTTGCAATGATATTTGTGATGATGTTTATTTCCATTAGAAAAATTAACAAGACACTGATAGCTCATAATTCACGTAACCAAACTATTTTTGCTCTATGCACAACGAGGACCCATTACCAAAGGAGTACATGAGAGGATTGCTTCTGTTAACGTTTAATTAAGAGGCGCACAATTATGAACTTTGAATTACGAACTGAGAAAATCTTTAGGACACATCTGACATTCAAAAACAACTGTGGATAGATGTGGCTTGTGCATACCTCAACTTCAATAATCAGTATTGAGCTTGCATATCTTTGTAAAAATGCATGAATTTCTGAATAAATGTAACATAAAACAGCTACTAAAATTAGCATTCATTAAAAAGAATAGCAGGTGTCCATCTACTACATTCAAAGCATTGTGTATTGTAAAATCAAGCAGAAAAAAACACACAAACAAGAAAAAACGAAGAAACAAGATAAATATGCTTAATATCCTTTCTTGAACTTACATGCAATAAAAATTAACTATTCAAGGAGACTGATAACAAATGGGAGAAGAAAGACACTCTCTAGGAGGTTTTTTTTCCCCAAAAATGCTGGAAAAAAAGCTTCAGAGCACCTTACAGGATTAATTCTATCATTAGTAATCAGAATTAAATCTGTTATTAGATATTTGCTTGTGTGAGAGTGTGTGGAGGATTCACAAGAATTAGGGGGGGGGGGGAAATCCCTAGAATTTGAGGGTTTTTACTGACAAAAAAAAAAGAAGAGCTCTGATGTAAAATAATAGTACAAGAGAGAGAGAAAGAGGGAGGGGGAAGAAAGAAAAATGTCACAAATATAAAAAATTTCTCAGCGTTGAAGTTAGTTATAGACCCTCCGAGATCTTGTAGCAATATTATGTGAATTTCTACCATGTATTCAACCTTGAATAAATCCAATTAATGAAAAATAGATTGGTCACTGAATAAGGAGTAAATCAAATCATTATTTCCTGGGGAGATTTCTGAGGAATGACACAAAAAGAGAAATTAATCATTCCTGTGATGAAATGAGAGGAATTACTGAGACATGAGAGTAGGCTTCCCACTGCAATAGTGACATGCGTGAAAGGTCTCAAAAAAGGCGTGTCACTCCGTCTGTGAGGCACCTGATTGAAAAGATTTCTGTTATTTAAAGAATTTTAAGGCATGACAGGCAGTAAGGAAGTGTTTTATGTTATGCTCCTCTTGACACATCTTGTTCACACAGACACCGATACCAGAAAAGAGAAACTGCCCTTTCAAAATTATAAGACAGTATCATCGTTTTCCAAACGATATATAGGAAAATAACTACATTCTAACATCTCAAAACTAACCCAAGCAATACGAGAAAGACTGCAAAATTTTGCAAATCTTTGCGAATCATTGAAGGAAAAATCAATAAAATTTTCAGCTTAAAATGTCCGGTTTCCTGGTAAAAATACGATTTGTGATTGAAAATCTTACAGCTAAGAGATGTAGTTATTTTCATATATTTGAGAAACAATGATATATCACATTTAATTTTCAAGATTGTAAGCACTGAAAATTGTAGACATGCAAGGCGATGGGGGCCCAGGCACCTCGATAGTTATACCCTCGCCCAACACTCAACTAAGTTACTAAAAGTTTGTTTTTTTCTCTGTTGATTCCATTTTATACTACTCACGGAGTACAGTTTTTCAGATTGGCTATTATACAGCAAAAAAATCAGAAATGCAAAAGGCATCAAGATAGAGGCACAAAGACACCTAAATTGCTGATGCAGAATCAATCAAAATTAAAACAGACGAAACCTTTGAATACATGAAAAATCTCTCGCAATAACACTGATTTTTACATGAACTTCAGAATCTGCCACTATTTTACCTGTGGGTGTACTAACTTTGATATAAGTAGACAGAGTAAGAAAAAAAAATAAAGAGATTCTTAATCACCTCGAGAGATTATTCAATGATCCTGAAAAAAAGAAATTATAAAACTGCGCATTTACGAGGGGATGAAATGAGGGAAACAGTGCGTATTTCCATGTAGAGATTTCTGCAAAACTCCAACATGGATAGGTCGGCTAGTGACAAGTGAACAAAATGGAAATGGAAATAAAAGGAAAAATTGCGACAAATAATACATAGATTAAAACAATGATATCCAAGTAAATTTCCAGGCTGTGCGAATCATTTGAATACACTTAATGCCTTTAAGGAAGGTACAAATTAACCTCATCCATTAAAATCTGCAAAAAAGTTGAAATTACTGACATATAAAAATGAACAAAACACCAGATTTCATCCCCATTGTAAACCTGAATAAATTTTTAGAGAAGCATGCTTTTAAATGACTGTTTACAGGAAATAGTGCCTTCATTAAGTTCTTTCTGTTAGTTTGTGTTCATTTTTTTTCATTGCCCTTAAAGGGCCTTAATGTTGGCAAACTAAAAATCGAGATACTTGAACCAATACTTGTGTAAGCTTTTTCACAACACTTCGGCACAAAAACCATCCAAAAATGTTAAACTCAATTGGATTTAGGATAGTTTGACGCTTGTAACTAAAATAATGGAGCTTTCAAAAAGGCTTTTTGAGGATAGAATCTGCCATTTTCTGGGCCAAAGTGATAGTGTGAACTTAAGCGCTCACTTGGCTTAAAAGAGAACAGAGCTGCTTACAATTGTTTTTTGAGGAACCAGGGAATTCCCATTATAAAGTCAATATTCAAATTTTAGATTTAAACAAAATTTCCATAAAGAAAGAAAAGAGAGAAAAAAAAAAAAAAAAACGCAAAAAACCACAAAAAAACTCAGTACACTAAGGTCGTTTCCTCTGTAAACAGTCCTGTATTAAGGTCACACAAATTGGTACATTTTAAATATCTGTAATGCACCTACAGAAATAATAAAAATAGCATAAACATTAAAACGCTTGAAAAACACAACACAAGCTGCAGCTTTCCTCTGACTCCTGGATATTATGATGGCTTCAGAATCACATGAGATAAAAGTTTCGGAAAAAATCATGTCATATTCCAATTCTGTGAAGACATGGCGAAAACCAGTTAATGTGAATCTTCAAAAACTCTAAGTAAGAAATTTTTTCATTCAGGGACACCACTATGTTGTGACTTTTGCGATAATGATGTTTGAGTTTACTAGGTATGAGTCCTTCAGTTAATGCAAAAATTAGAGGCAGTTTTGTTAAAATTGAAGAAATATAAGTTAGAGCTCCAGCAATTTTATTCCTTTTGACATCGAAAGAATAAGAAATGCTATCTTTGCAGCTCCAAAAAATTATCCCAGAAAAAACAGAGTTGAATGAAATGATCTTGATTTAAACATTCATGAGTCATCTCTCTTAGCAGAAATGGATATATTCATGGCACTCACACTCTTATAGAGTCCCTATAGAAAAACTGAGATTAATTTCTAGTCTTCACTGCTGAATGTTTGAAACTCGTCTTTAATTTTATATACAGATTCAGAGATGCGCTGCTAGAACTTGAAAGTATCAGATTCCAACAGATCTGTCATAATGTGAAAATAACCGCTACTTTTGGAGTCAGATTTTAGCAGTCAAGAAGGTTGTTTTTACCATATCCAACACTGAAGATTCACCTTAACTAATATTTCTTAAGCCATTTCTAAGTTCTGAGACTTCTTTCTTTGGGCGAGACATTTAATTAAAAATCTACTAGCACTTACAAAAAAGCATCAATCGTCCTTTCTTTCTCTTTTCAAAAAATGACAAAAAAAAAAAAAAAAAACTGGCAAGTTCCACCTTGTCCAGGACCTGACTATCGGTCAAACTTCTGTAAAACTAATTCGATGAGCCACATTTAGCTTAGCTAAAACTTTTTCCACTGAACAGCACAGTTGACAAAAAGTTTGACTGTCTGGATTCGCTTGGCTTGGTAGGAAAAAATTACAAAAATTAAAGGGACTAACAACTCTCTTCTTCGAATTGAAATATGACTTATCTGAAACTTTTTTTTGACTTTCCAAGGGCCAAACTCAGGGATGCAGAAACTTTTCAACCACACAGCCAGCAAGTGGCATACAAAAATAAGAAGGCCCTAGAAATGGGTTTTGAAAATTTGGAGACCTTTGAGGGGCAAAGACCTTGAAAATGGGAAGAACTGCTGACGTCAGCAGGGAAAATTACATCATTCTCGAACACAGGCAAGAAAGTTCCCTACTGAGAAAATTTTTGGAGAAAAAGGGAGTTTATACAATGAAAGGGCCGATGAAAAAACTAGGAGGGCTAAGAACTTTCTGCATCCCTGGCCAAACTGATAACTTGAAGCATACGAGTCAAACAAAACCAATGAGAGAAAATAAAAGAAAACAACAAACACAAACAAAACAAATGAAGGCTAAGGATTTCCAGGTGCTTTCTCCACAAAGTACATACATCAGTCCTCAAGAAAATAAATTAAATAGCTGGGATTTACTAGCTTGGTTCACATGATTCAGGGGTATAGCTGCATCCTTTCACAATTTTTTTACCAGTCACAAAAGAAAGAACAGAAAAAAAAATATTATGTAAAATGACAAGAAAGCATACCGGGTGTTTCGGTCCTGATCACGAATTTTCTTTTCCATTTCTGCATCGGTGAGTGTTTCTAAGAATGGCGACCATTGGTCTGACTCTGATGGTGGTCTAAAGGGCACTTCAATGACCGGTAGTGGTGTTTCACTGTTGACAAAATTTGGAAAAAAACATGATACTTCAAATGATTATACTGGTGAAATTCTTTTCATCTGTTAGAAGAGAGTTTTCATCTTGAGAACTGGAGGCATTACACTGGGAATAAAAATCTTAAAGTGAAGGTTAAAATGAATTCCACGAACATACAGTTCTTCAAATTTTACCTTAACTTCTTTTTATTTTGGGGATTTCAAAAGGACCGTTTTCACAATTTCTGGAAACAGCAGAATAAGGAGAGGAAAAAAATGTGGAAATCGGTGCTTTTAACTGATGCTTTAAATATTTAAAAAAATATGAGGGATTTTCAGCATATTTTTCTTAATGGTCTATTTTCTGAAACTTTTTTTTTGCCCAGAGAAGCCGCTTTGCTCATTTATTACATTATTGATCAATTTTTTATGATTTGCAAATCAATATGCTCTGAGTAAATCTGCTGTCACAAAATTTAGGCTCTTTGGGATTCCATAAATCAAAATTTCCAGCCAAGTTGGAATTGATACAAATCAAACAAATCTGATTGCACACGGCCCATGCCTATGACCATAGGTTCTATACTTTTTCAAAGAAACTCTCAAACTTAGCTTGATAAAATTAGATTTTTTCAAGTGCTTATGCACATGGCTTAATTTGACAGCATAACCCAAACTCCTAATCCTGTAATCACTTTTTCAATTGTTCGACTTTCTCCTTCGACCTTGACCATGATTCTCAACTTCGCTGTAAATCTCTGACTTGTAATCCTGTACTTCATAAAATTGCAGCACTCAGATAGCTTCGTGTAGCGCTATCTCAAGTGCTGCTTGTTTGTTTGGGTTAAGACACAGATATCTAAAATTAATTACCAAATGTCTCGTAATGTCCAACATTACATGCAATGTACATAAAAAATTAATTGGCACTTTTCAGACCATGTTCGGTAACACCTGCTGCATTAAGAAGTCAAGTGCTTGTTGAATAATCTTGAACTTCAGAGTGTAGAGTGCTGTTCCATTTTAAAAAACCCAAGCAAATGTAAACATTTTAACAAAAAAAAAGAAGTACAGTAGATCATTTGTTAATCTTAAATTCTGTATTCTACTCGGTGTGCATGTCATATATTAAATATATCAATGGTAGAGATCCCCAACTGGATATCTCCGTCAATCATTGGTGAAAATCCAGAGGGAGAGGAATTTGGTTGATTTCAATTACAGTAGTTCATAAAAGAAGCTTCACAGCAATTTATAGATTTACACAATATAAATTGAGAAAAAGAGAACCTAGGATGAAAAACGAAAAGAGAAGAGAAAATTTGGACCAACCTGAAGGCGTACGTTCTCTGGTGCCAGCTGAGTTGACCCCGTATAGAATAAGCAATTGCTGTGACAAATTCTCCTCCTAAACCAAGTTCCGCACATAACTTCAAAGCGAATTGTTCTGGAGAGTTTTCTTTTTCGCTCATGTCCCATTCAACTTGATCGACAAGAGAAGTGTTCCCAACATGGATGTTGAGCTGGAAAATATTAAGAAATAACTAATAATAAAATAGACACTTAAAGCAATGCCCTAAGAAAAAACTGTTTTCAGCAAACGAGAAAATGAAACTTTCAAAATGAGACTACCCTTTCATTCAATACGTCTTGATTAAAATAATATCTATCAGATACATGACCAAAACTGTTTGGTTAAAGATAAAACCAAAACTGGACTAAATATTGACAAGTAGACATTCAATTAAGAAACCAAAAATTCTTGTGATCATACAAGTAATTGATTTGAGAAAATAATCCAATATTTTTTACTATGCTGGCTTTTTGATGTGCTTCACTTTGTAAACCATATTCCTATTTTTGTGGCTCACCTTGAAAAAATATGAAAAGGGTTAGAAAATTCCAGAAACATGCATTGTTTGTTAATTAGTAACACCTCCTCAAAGTCTGGGAAAATTCTAGTGAGTTCTAGAGAAGACACTATATGGCCTCCTAAACTAACTGGGCACCACATTAAGGTCTGTTGAAAGAGGAAAATCAGGAATTGGGAGGAAAGGTGGTATGACAAGGATAGAATGGTGCAGAAGAGGGAGCCAGGGGTAGAGCAAAAAATATCGGAAGGGCAAGTAAAAGGTAGAAAAAATGAAAAGCGATAGTCAGTACAAGGTGAGGAGGAGACTGCCTCTGGGTTACACAAAGGAGGTAATTTAAGGCCGCATATTCTTCAACACAACACTTTTTTTACAAATACGATGGGCAAGGCAGGAATATTTCCTGTCCATCCAGAGTCCTTACCTTAATAACTACTCGTTGGTCAGACTGATTTTTAAAAATATTTTCTACTGGAAATGCATCAACTTGCTGCCTAATGGCTGCAGCTACAGCAGGTACAAACACCACAGGATTCAAATCAAGGTCGTCACATAGTACTTCAGCAAACTGCTCTGGTGTAATCAATGATTCTGTAAAAAAAGAAAAGAAATTCATGAAGACATATTTTCATCTTATTCTTCCTGAGATAAAGCTTCCATACCTTGCTGCACCACACATCAACATTAAGTATTACCTTGGGGTACAAGAAGTTCTACGTCTTGGGATTTTTTGAGGCAGTACTCAGATAGATCGTATCCGATACATCAAACAGGTGAGATTGAATTTATATCGATTGGTTAAACAGTAATGTCCCTATTTTGACCCAATAAATATGTAATTAAGGTAATATATTTCAAGACGTCCATTGAAAATTCTACATGTATAAAGATTAAAAGAAGAAAATGAGTACCATTTTTATTCCATGTAAAAGTGTCTCTAAGTTTCTGGCCCTCGATCTCCATGTCAAGCCTTATCGGCACCAGTAGTTCCTGTTGCGTTGCATTCTCGTGGAAGGCGACCGGATCAGCATCGTCAAAACAAAGTGGGAACGTGCGCACCTTTTTCATATTGACTCGATTGCGATTTATGGGTGTTGCTTGAGGTACAGCATCCAGATGAGAACTGTTCGGCAATGATGGTACCCATGGCGCTGATTTTTTGGCTTTATTATCTCTGCAAAAGATAAAGAAAATACATAAAAACTCTCTGGGTATTAGGCCTAGCAAAGGAATAGTGTCAAGAAAAATGAAATAGATGATTAACAGTTTCTGTCACTTTATTTTTCATTTCCTTCGATGGTGTTCGCAAGATGCATATTCTTTTCTTTGAGCGCCTGCAATTTTTAAGACAGAAAAAAATAATTTTTGGGAGAGTAAAGAAAAAATCTTTATTTCAAAACATTACAAACTCTGCCACTTTTGAGGAAATCAGGCAAAGAAAGAATGTAAATTTGAACTCATGAAAAGTTCAGTGATAATTTAAAAACAATTAAATTTAATTTACCTTTTAAATACTTATTTTCTTTGCTTTTTTTCAACTTTCTTTAATTTTTTATTTTTAAAAATTGGATACATATAACAGATATACACATCCCACAAGGCCGTCTTTGAGAGAGGGGACCTCGGTACATGACAGTGCTATTGAAAGAAGAGCCATTTTTGCTACTATGGACTGAAAATTTGAATTCTGCTCACAACAGAATATACTCTTCAGTATCTCAAAGTGGCAGTTGAACATTTCAGTACATTTTGGTGCTTACGAAGGGCATCAATCTAAGAATTTTGAGCACCAAGCGTGTTAGATTAAAATTTTAAACAGCTATTTCTTGCAACTAGGTTTTTTAAACTATAAACTTTGCATCACTATAATTCTGCTTACGCTTGAAACATTTAAGTCTTTCATGTAAAAATATTTGTAAAGGCTTGAAGAGGACGTATCATGGAGTAGAAGTGTTCCAAGATACCAATACATTAATTTTTAAGTTGTGAGCAACAAGTGAGTTAAGCAGTAATCTCGTGGGAAACTGCTTAAATAGGGTGTAATGAGAGTAAAAATTAATGTTAATTACCTTGGAACTAAAGGCTCTGAGGTATGAACAGAAACTGCTTTATATTTGTCATCATTTCCTTCTATTATGTCTTCAACCTCTGACGCGCGGAGCAAAGATACACTTGATGCGAGGCAGTGAGCACTTAATCCTGCATAAAAATACAAAAATATTAGGTAATGCAGAAAAAGACGGTATGAAAGGAAAGAATTGGTGGAGGAGTATTAAAAATTTAAAAAGCTCAGAAAAAGATTAAAAAAAGATAATTTGAGTAGTTAAACTGCTCATCTGGAGTTTTTTGAAATTTTACTCATAGTCCTTCATAAGCAGGAACAAACCGAAGTTTAACATTCAATTTAGGGCCAATTTTTTGAGATTCTCATTAGAAATAGCCTAGTTTTAAAATTCAGGGGTGTGAATACTAAGGTCACCATTACTTATGAATACAGGAATCGGATGAGTGGCACAGATTTAAACTTCCAGATAATGAAAGAGTGCAAGGCCAGGGGCACGTCAATGGCGCAGAATATTCAATGCATGTACGTCAGCAATACTTGGCAGAAAGGTAGATAAATTGTATCCTCACACTGCATGAGGTCTTGCTCCTCATTGCATTCTTTATCTTAAATTGCACTTGGTTTGGTTGGCATACCTCTAAACAGCAAAGCATACTTAAAAGGAAAAAGTATAATTAAAAGGGGAGAGAGTGACCACCTTAGGAAATTTTGTCTCATGTGTCAAATTGCTCGATTGTACAATATTTGGAAACATCTCAAACAAGTTTTTTTCCTCCTGCACATTTACTTCAGCATCAATGCAGCTTTGACTGATAAGTATGAGAATAAAATCACTCAAAACAAGTAGAACAACTAATCAGGATAGAACCGGATAATACTGCTGTCCTGAGCAAAAGAGTTGAGTATTACCTACATTATGTTTAAAATCCATTACATTTACATTTTTAAAACTATTAAACTGCATCCTGCACAAATTCTTAATGTTCATACCATGAAAAAGATTCAATTTTGAATTTCAAAGGAGACTAAAAAATTGATAGCTTGAAATGAAATAATCACTCTTTTCTTTAGGACAGCAGTAAAATTCAGCAAAAATATTACCCGGACTACCTAGCTCTAACAATTTCTTCCTTTCTTCATTGGCGATGGTACGGCGGTACATGCCAGGGTATTTCTTGTACAAGGAACCACGGAAGAGGCGGAGATAATTTCCAACCTGGGGAAGAAAAGACAAAGTTAGGATAAGAATAACAAAACCATTGCATTTTTCAATGTGGTTCAGATTGAATTCTAGTTTATTTGCGATTGAAATCTGCAGGTGGAACTTGCGTCTGATATGTAAGCAGTTGTTTACTCCTGGCTATCACCGGCGGTAGACAGAATTACAGTTCTTCGGTAGCAGTGACGCCTGTGGTCAATTCTTGACAGTTATTGGAGGTTTGCAACGAACTTACATGCAAAGGGGAAGAAAACAACTGTCAATTCATCTCATGCAAGTTCCAGTTATTGAACAGACGAACGCAATGTTTACAAGTTATTCTTTGTAAATTTTCGTTCAACACTTCATGAGTTGGACTTGCGATACATCTAATCTTTATGATAATAAGGCGTTTTCCTCTAAAATTGGAGGGAATCAAGTATATTAAAATGCACAAAATCTTGAGTTAGCAATGTATACAAACCTCAGAACCGATGCAGTAATACTCCCCATTTTCCTCGATTTGAAAACTAATCGGTTTATCTCCGTACGTGCGGACAGCCATATCGGCGATTTTTGGTCACTCCTAGCAAAAAATGTGGAAAATAATAACTGATAAACTATTAAATTATAGTGAGAAAAGCCGGGATGGCGAGTAAGTAATCAATTCACGTCAAATGGAATTTCTGAGAAACCAAAATGGCGGAGAACGACGCTTTGTTTACGTCCCACGCAGGGATGCTGATATTGAAACAGAATTGAAATCAGTATCAACTATCCATTCTGCTAAATTTTGAAAGAGGGTAATTAGAAAATTTCTGAGCAGTTTAAACATACAAATTGAGAAAAACTATCACTCGCATACAGAGAAAGTAAGAAAAATACGGAGATCAGCAAGAAAAAGTCCACTATGCCTTCCTCCTCTCTTGGAGAAAATTGGGAGAACTGTTTCGAGAGAGTAGCGCGAAATGCTCAAGTAGTTTAAAAATGCGGGGATTTTACATTTTTGTCCAATACTTAAAGCGTTACAATGCGTAAGTGGCTTTGGTCCGGAAGACTTTTAAAATTCCCTCATGTTAGGGCCACAGGCGGCCTCCTTCATTTGTGTAAAACTGGCCCTGACGGCCCTGACCTCACACAGTTATAATTTAATTATAATGCTTCGTACCTAACCATTATTAGCTGCAAAAATGTACACCCTCAAAATGCCCATCTCTTGCATATTTTGACAATCATCGAAACATTTGAAGCTCATGAAATATCTTATAGCTTAGACCTAAAGGAGCACGTGCCTGAAAATATTTTTAGAAGTAAGGTCATGTCGAAACTATATTTTACTTACACTTTCAAGAATCGACCGAAGACAGAAAAAATCAAGAATCATATATAAAGCATCTTGTTATATCAAGTTCTGCAAACAATAGTAATTGTGACTATTTAAAATTTGAAGAATATTCAAGATAAGTGTCCGCTCATTTTCCACAAATTTTAATACTCGAAAAAAAGGGAGAAAAGATCATCCCTTAAGTTTGAACTTGAAATGAGGAGGCAACTTGCATTATACCTTATGCTGAAAGTCGTTGATTCTCCTCTCTTTATCAGGGTGACACAATCAATTTTTTTTTTTTTTAAAAATTAATATTACCGTAGAAATTTCCTTGCGTGTCATAGAAAAATGGGACCAAGACCTGAAACGAAGTTTGTTTTTATCCATACATTTATGCGCACGTTTATAGCCCCTATAAAAAACCTCACTCGATCTATCACAGTTACTCAGCAGATTTCAAGCTAATAATGATAGAAATAAACCTACGGAGTCCTCGTCCATTTCTGATTTGAAATGAGAGTTTAAGAGAAAAAACACAAAATAAAGTATTAAAAATTACACAAGAAAATCTCCAACTTTTATTAGTGCAGGGTTCACGGAACGCCGTGAATTACATAGATAGACAACACGCTGTACAGTTTTGCGTAAGGCAGCTAATCGGTGTGGTGCAGCGCGAACCTTATTCTTCGCTGTTTTCGCTGCGTTTGTGTGGTGATGGTGTGAGGCTGTGTGCGTGTCGTGTGCTCGCTCGAACTCTCGAAGTTAGTAAGTGTCGAAGTGCTATCATCATGGCGAATTGAGGCAAGTTCGTGTTCGTTCCCGTTTTACGCCGTGGCCTCTTTGTTCTTCGTCCTAAGTAAAAGTTTTTTCATCGATCACAATTGTGCACCCTATGTGATTTCACTTTGAAGTGATCTCTTTCCCTGTGTTTTTGAGTCTCTCAAGATGAGTGTTGACGCGTACGGACCTAGTTCGCAAACCCTAACGTTTTTAGAAACCGAAGATGCCGACTTGATCGGAGCCGATACTCAGGGCTCCGAATTCGATTTCACGGACTTTACTCTTCCTTCCCAAAGCCAAACTCAAGCCTCACAGCTTGATTCAGCTCCCAACCAGAAAACTCAGGTTTGTACCATGCCATGTTTTTGGGCATTTCAGGTCGCTTCCTCCAACAGCTGGCCGAAGCGAGCCATGTGGACAACTTTTAGAAATTTTGAAAATTAAATTCCATAGCCATTAGTTAGCTGAGTAGCCCAAATATAATTTACCTCGAGCAGAGAGGACAATGGTACTTTCACCTCTCCGAAGGTTTGCTTCATGTTTTAGGTTAAGTCGTGTGTTGCACAACGAGAAAGTCACCTTGCTACCATTCTTATCTCCTTAATGGGGAGACATCAACTGAAGCTATTAAAATTATGTCACTTTTATTCCTCCCCAAGAATCGTGACTGGCATCTCACACTGTGTTCCTGGTGTTTTTGCCCGAATATTAGGTCTGTGAGGAGGCTCCTGGTTACCTTAGAAATAGCAGTCACCCGCATTGAAATGCATAACTATCGCGGTTATGTTTCGTTGATTCTGCTCTATTGCTTTCGAATCTGGTAGAAGAATTTTCTTCTTAGTTTTTTTTCAGTTGCAAAGTATACTATTTGCTGCATGAGAGATTTTCTCACATCATGCCGTGCTCAATTCTGAAAACCCTAGAGGATTGTTCCAAGGTAACAGTAAACGTACCTTTCGAAGTCAAACCTCTGTGCTCCAAACCTTCTTTCACTATTGACCGGGTCTTTAGTACCATTATTTATCCTTTAATGCCAGCTTTTCCCTTAGTGTGCTAAATTCCACACTTTTTACTGATTCTAATCCTTTGAAAATCTATTAAATTTGAGCACAGCAACTTTAAAGCTGATGCTAATCAAAAATTTATACTTAAATCAATTCAAATCAGGATAAAACTTACTTGCAGACTGGCATTTCAACACTGTCTCACTGGACATCTTATCAAGGTGTCGCTGGCGATTTCTAAGAGTAATTTTAGTTGAAAAACCATTCTGTATACTGTCTTCTCCTTTCATATTTGAACATTCTTAAAAATTTTGTTGCAGATCAATGGTAAAATTAGCAGCGAGACTATCACATCAGTCAACGGTGTCGCAACCAAGCTCCGAGAACTGCAATTTGAAGAAGAGGAGGATGATGCCTTTTACAACAAGGTTAACCCTTACTTTCATTCTCTTGGAAAATTTTAAATTATTTTCCATCTAATTGTTGATCCATGCTGATGACCTCTATGTTTGTCGTAACATTTTGATTCTATTTGCTAGCTGTTGCATAGCAATTTTGAAAGGGCAGTCCTAAGAGGTTCAGTTAGGAAATTTTAACAGTTAGACCTTTTTTAATATTATTGATGCAGGGAAACTGAGAATGATTAATTTTTCTGAGTAACTGCATGGCGAGGCTTTCTAATATAATCATTCTGAAACTTGCCTTCCAAGAAGTTGCAGTTGTAACTTTGCCATTTTTGATATTGAGGTACGAAATATGAAGTTCGGAACACTTCACTTCAATCTTGTCATCCAAGCATGTTAATAAAATTTTTTGCCGTAGGTATTCTTGCGAGGAGGTTTTTAATAAATGAGTGTCAGCTTTAAAATAACAAGTTAGCCCAGGAAACGGCCACTGTAAGATATTGATGGTTCAAAATATGTGGCGATATCATTTTTAATCAGAAAAATTGAAATTAAATATATCCTTAATCTGCTGTCATTGGGAGATCAAGACACAAACCTCTGGCTCAGCATATTAATAATTTTGGATCAGCAATTCAATTTATTCAGTTTTTCCTGATTAAAATTGAGATTTTCTCACTTTTTGAAATGTCAATATTTTGCAGCAGCCTTTCCCTGGATTTGGTTATTATTTTACTGTGTGTTTTGGCTGATAGAGTGTCAGTACTGTCTCACTTTAAGCAAGTGACATGAGTTTCTCAATAGAAATTCACATTTTTCAGGATTGTCTCATTTAGCTCGGTAAGAAGTTACCAATGGAATTGAATTTTCTAAAGAAGAGATCTTCATTGAGAAATGCTTTCAAGGAGGTTTAGTAAATTTTTTGTTTGACGATAATTTTATTTTTTTTAAAAAATTTCAGGAGCTCCCTCCTTATGCATGTAAATATTGCGCCATTCATGACCCAAGCTGTGTCGTTATGTGCAACATTTGCAAGAAATGGTTCTGTAATGGACGTGGGAACACATCAGGCTCTCACATTATCAACCATCTTGTCCGAGCAAAGCATAAGGTAATCATTCATCCAATTAATACTTCCATTCACAGTGGGCTAAATTCGAAAAATAAGACCTTTTTATTTTTTACTAAACGCTGGCAACTAAGGAAAGCAGTAAACACATCAATCTGGCCCATCAGCTAGAATGTGGACGGTTGCGTCTTGCTCAACGTGCGAAACAATGATCGCGGGCAAACAAACACGTTCCAGCTCCGCTCGGCTACGTTTGGCTCCTAGATAACAACCTTGCTCGAGAAGCAAGATTGCAGGGGGACAAATGGGAGCTGGATGCCTCTGCCTCCCGCAGCTGCGCCATTGTTTACACAGTTTATCTTCCGCTTAGGGTTGCCATTTGAATTTTTAGGGAAGTTCTATCATTGAAAATTATAACTACTTTTCAGTTATTTAACGGATGCGTGGTAGATACGTAATTATACATGATTCACAAGATAAATATTGATCAGGAAGTTGTTTAAATGAGCAATGATTCTCCGTTCGTGATTTAGCCTTCAATTAGCAAGAATACTTCCCACGAAACACGGAATTCATCTGTTTTTTATGTCTTTCAAGCATTTAAGTAAAATTCTCTGTCAGACTCATTCTAATTTTTTCGTTTGAGATTCTAAGTAATCTTTTTTCTGCCCCCCCCCCCCAGGAGGTAAATCTTAATTTTCTTTTATCTTTTCCAGGAAGTAACTTTGCACAAAGATGGACCCCTGGGTGAAACAATCCTAGAATGCTACGCTTGCGGAGTGCGTAACGTTTTTGTTCTTGGTTTTATTCCTGCCAAAGCCGATTCTGTGGTAGTGCTCCTCTGCCGGCAGCCATGTGCATCTCAGAATTCTTTGAAGGACATGAACTGGTTTGTATTTATCAGCAAGTCATGCTCTACCTGGAAAATGATTGATAGTGTACGTGGTATGTTAGAAGCTAATGAAGACCTTGCAAGGTCCCCAGTCAGCCCTTAAAGCAACTTGTCATTATGTGAAATTACATGAAATTGTTTCAAGCGTGAATTTTCTCAAAAAAGGTGATTTCAAGTTAGGGTATTTACAAGAATTAATCTGAAAAGTGAGCGTAATGTCCAATGAGAGAGAATTCATACCCTTGTTAGACAAGTATTGCTTCAACAGAAATTAGTGCACTCCATGCATATCCCTATTTTTGTATCATCAAAGGCAGCAAAAATCTGACAACAGTCCGTGTAAAAAGGAAATTTTGGTGATGGACAAAATGAGATAGTGAGGGAATTTTCCTAGATTTTTTTGAACAATAATGAACTTCAATAAATGAGCGCAAAGTCTGGTATTATATTTAATCTTTCCTCTTTGTTTTCTGAAGCTGGAGCATTTTTCAAAAGTTTATTTTACGCATGCTTATTTTTTTCTGAATCTGGAATATACTCTTCATTAATTTGATTTTTTCTCATCCTTCAGGGATCAAGAACAATGGAAGCCCCTGATTGCAGACCGTTGCTTTTTGTCATGGTTGGTGAAAATTCCAACAGACCAAGAGCAGTTAAGGGCTCGTCAAGTCTCGGCAACACAGATCGCCAAGTTGGAAGAACTTTGGAAGGATAATGTCGATGCAACGCTCACTGATCTGGAGAAACCAGGAATTGATGAAGAACCACAACAAGTTTTGCTGAGGTATTGATGAGTTTTAAAAAATAAAAAGTGTAATTTTAGATCATTGTAAGTAACAATTCAGTACCCACCTCTAGGATTAAAAAAAGTCCCAAGTCGCAGTTGCTTGCTGTAATGTAACAAAGTTTTCCAAACTGCGATGTGGTTTGACAGAGGGTAGTGGAGGTTAGGTGTTTTGGAAGGCCAGGGAGTGCTGTAAAGCGACTTACATACATACATTTCCAAAGGCTGTTTTTCTCAAAACGTTTGCTATACCTAATTTCCTAATTTCTGCCAAAATTCCCAAGTTTTTATATTTCATCTATTAGCTTATTGTGCTCTCTTCGTTCATTGCAATTCATGAATCATGAAGTTGAGCATACTCTACACCCCTTGTGAACTCCTAACCGCAAATTTTCCCACATAAACCACAGTACATCTATTACTTTCCCATAAAATAAATTCAATTTTTCTCTTTTTTTTTTATCCTGATTTCTGCCACATTTTCATACATCAAGAAAAATATAAAACATGTTTTATTGATCTTGATTAGGTATGAAGATGGATACCAGTATCAGAATATCTTTGGCCCCCTGGTAAAACTGGAAGCTGATTATGACAAGCGTTTAAAGGAGTCCCAAACTCAAGAAGGCGTTGAAGTGCGCTGGGATGTTGGTCTGAACAAAAAGATCATCGCATACTTGAATCTTGCTAAAACTGATGGAGGTAAAATGCTACATGGTTCTGAAACTCTCAAATTTCTAATTTTTTGTTACTACTGATTACTGTATTGTAATAAACACAGCCAATTAGTTCATTCTACCTCACTGACAAGTGCGCATCAGCGAAGTTGTGAGGTAGATCGATAGTATCTAAGTAGACCTTATGAAAATTCTTTAAAAAAAAAAAAAAGTGCAATTAATAAATGATGGCTCTTGAAATTATTAGCCAGTGAGTTTGGATGCATTTTTGAAACGAAAATGTTTAAGCAGAAAAAAATGTAAAAAATTCTTTACCCGGCACTCTCTTGCAATGCGTAATGAAGAATAATAGAGCTCTTTACAAATGGCTGACTTAAACAGTTGTTTTTTTTTTAATTGAAATTTCTGTTACAAATGTTTTTCTCTTAAATTTTGAATATGAAAATTAGTCTACTGGCATAACTGTACTCTAGTGTAGAAAGATACCTGAAGAAAACCACAAAAGAAGTAATTATTAAACTCTTTTAATCCTGAAAAATGTTAATTCTTGTTAACCGAGTGATCAAAGACATCGAAAGAGAATGTATCTAAGACATGAACCAATTGTAGCCTATTTAGACCATGAAACACGCACTTCAAGGAATGCAGGAACTAATCAGATTAGTTTGTGAAATTGTTTTATTGCATAAGAAATTTTTTGACATGTCATTTATCTAACTCCATTGCATTCAAGGATGCATTCTGAACCCTATATAACATATTCGCATATCAATGTTTCAAATTGTATTTAATTTACACTGCAAACTGCTCTGTTAAACAGATATGCGTTTGATGCATGGTGATGAATTGAGACTGCGATATCTTGGCGAACAACATAAATCTTGGTCAGGTATCGGTCATGTCATCAAAATCCCTGACAATTTCGGAGAGGAGGTTGGTATTGAACTAAAGTCGTCCAGTGGTGCTCCGACAGAATGCACGTCTAATTTTGTTGTCGATTTCATATGGAAATCCACTTCCTTTGACAGGTGTGTAGTAATTGTTTGTAGTCTGTTTGGTAATTAGTAACAGTTCAACTATCGTCTGTTTTAATAATTTTATTCTAGTTAAACAATACAAATTATTGGTCGATTCTACTAAAAAACAATAGACTATTCCATGCTCTCCTCCTTTTTTCTAGAAGACAAAAAAAGGAGGGGATCGAGAGAAAGAGGAAACCCTAATAAGTTTTGCGACCAAATTTTCAATGACTGTTCCTCAACTTGTTCTGACCGCATCTCTTTTGACTCGTATGTTACCAGGATGCAATTGGCATTGCGGAAATTTGCGGTTGATGAGAATTCCGTGTCACCTTACATCTATCACCGATTACTCGGCCATGATGTGGATGAGGTCTTATTCAGGTGCCATCTTCCAAAACATTTTTCTGCTCCCAACTTGCCTGACCTCAATAGATCACAAGTAAGCCCTACTCTTAAATTTTCCCTTAAAAATTCCTGATTGCCATTTTGGGATGCTTTGTACCGAAACTCTTCAAAAACATTAAAAACAACATCTTTGAATAGTCAAATAAGTAAGTAAGTAAGTAAGTAAGGCCGGGCTGACCGGTGAGGCGCCCTCAAGGGGCGAAGGCAACTGGCAGGAACCCTGCCATCGTACTACCCGAAGTTGGACCGTGCTCCTTAACCTCAAATCATTGACACATTGTGTATGCGCTATATTTTCGCTAGGCTCAGTGGCCGTCTAATAGCCAACGGTAGGTCTTATCAAAGACTGGCAGACGCTGCAGAGCATGGATTTTCGGAGCACGGCCATGCCTCCACCGAGTTGGACTGTGTTGTTGCAATCTCCACTGATAGTTAGCGTTGGGAGTCGCGCACACTACCAATGATCGCTGATCAGGGCCCATGTCCCTCCAGCATCCTGTTACCTCGAAGGGTCAGGTTATTGGAGTGGCATAGTCGTCCACGGTCACGATGACTGATATTTGAGTGTCCTCAAATATCAGTCACCTCCGGGGATTGAACCCGGGACCTCAGTGTTGGCAGCAAACTGCCTTGACCACTACACCACTGAGGCTGACTGAACAACCAAATACCTATATTTTATTTTTTTACAAATAGGCATAGTTAAGTAATTTTCTGCAACTTTAAGTCTACTCATATTTTTTTATATTTTAAAGAAAATAATGTTTGAAATTTAGCACGTCTACTCTGTAAATAAATTGTGTAATATATTTCATATCATAGGAGCACTTACAGTTGGTTTTCAGTGCTTTTCTATCATACTTATTACTAACCCTCTGCATTATGGTATAGGTGTATGCGGTGAAACACGCATTGCAAAGACCCCTATCACTGATTCAAGGACCCCCAGGAACAGGAAAAACTGTAACATCAGCAACGATAGTCTACCAGCTGGTCAAACAAAGTGGTGGAGCTGTCTTGGTCTGCGCCCCCTCCAATATTGCCGTTGATCAGCTCACGGAAAAAATTCATCGCACTGGCCTGAAGGTATGATTAATTTTGTTGAAGGAGTCAATAAATATTTTTTCGTAGTACTTTTGCTCGCTATAGGTAGATGCAATGATTGAACTAATGCAGTTCATCTTCAAATTATTGGAGCTTGAAACAATTATGTGAATTCAACTTATTTTTTGTCATACAATTAACTCTCTCCCACAGATATTTGGATAACTCTGATGCAGTTTTAACCCTTAAAGTGCCAGATTAGGAATGTAGACACAGCACCTCTCAGCTAGGTCAGGAGTGAAAAATCACATGAGTTTTATTCTTTTAGATTTCAACTTTTGTTGGATGTTAGCCTGCCAGAGTATACTGGCATTTCTCAACTTGTTCGAATTTTCAACCAAGGGTTTTAGCGGGAAATCCAAAAGACTCCATAAATGCAAGTTAATTGAGTGTTGCTTTTAGGAGCGGTTTCTCCGCTAAATGCACTTTTGGCTGTAACAAGTAAAGGGTCAAGTAAAAATTAGGGTAATAGTTTAAAATATTTTTTTGGTTGTCAGGTAAGTGGAAAGGCAAAAATACCTTTTCAATCATTTTCACCCTCACAAGATGCAGCGCAATCGTCAGTAGAAAATAATTAGAAAGAAAGAGAAATATGACTAATGAATGAACAATCTCATGTTACAAGTGTCTCACATGAACAAGAAATTAAATACTTAATGCTGCATCCTGATTCTAATTCATACATTTTATGTTATTTTTCCAAAGGTAAACAATAGACAAAAGCTCTTAGCATCTGCACGCCTTTTCAACTCAATAAAATTAGGATTTTTGTCATTCCAGTGTGCTTTTTTAACTCTCCTATTGTATCACTCTTTGTCTCATCCCGTAATATTAAGGAACTTACTTCACTTATTCTCTTGTAGGTCGTGAGAGTGTGTGCTAAATCGCGAGAAGCTATCGACTCACCTGTATCGTTCTTGGCCCTACACAATCAGATTCGCAATATGGATGTGTAAGTACTTCCTATTGTAAACTCTTTCATTATCCTTACTGTCAGCCTTCTCAGAGTGTGGATAATTTGTATCTTTAGAGTCTACACTAAACAAGCACTTATAGAGTGCAAAAGAAGATCCACCATCTCGATTCTTGTATTCACTTTCAATGCCAAACTGAAGACATCTGATCTTCTGTTCCTCTCTAAAATTATGTAAACTTATTCGGTTTGAATTCTGCCTATCTCAAGCCTTTTGTGAACTGAAAATGTTTGCCAAGTCCTGAAGGAATGTCTATTATTTATTCTCTCTTTGTTTCTAAGCTTCAACGATCTTAGGGATTTTATACTCATGTTAGGGCTGTTCTATCGGTTGTCGGTAAGCTACCGAAACAGTTCCGTTAAGAAAAAGTTACGATAAGAGCGCTCATGCCGATAGCGATCAGAGTTTTCGGAGCTGACAAAAATAAGCTGTTGCCATTTGTACATCTATTTTACGCGCCGCCCCGCCAGGCAATCTGATAAACCGACACTTGGGGCAACAATGCATTGAGTGCGAGCTCTCAAAAATCCGATAAGGCCGACTGTTGTCGACATCATCGCCACTGTCGGTACTGCGCCAGTTTCAATTAGAGACGATATCGAAAGTGTTCCGGCAAGAATTCGTTTGAACACCCCTAACTCATGTTAGCAATGGAATACCTTTTGAAGATACTTTGTGCTTGGTGAGTTAGTCAGAAAGAATTTTTACTTCGAGCTCGTTTTTCTTTCCAAACAACAGCAGAAATCTTTAAAAATTAAAAAAAAAAAGAAATTTCCAACCATTAAAGTATGAAATTAATTAAAAATGCTTAAAGTTATGCATTATTTGAGGTTAATTATTTAATCAATTTTTCTCCCCAGTAACTCTGAATTGCAAAAACTCCAACAACTGAAAGATGAAACTGGAGAGCTTTCGTCAGCGGACGAAAAACGTTACCGCATGCTCAAGAAGGCTGAAGAGAAAGAGCTATTGGACGCAGCAGATGTTGTCTGTTGTACCTGTGTCGGTGCTGGTGACCCTCGTCTCGCACGTCTCAAGTTCCACTCAATTCTCATTGATGAGTCGATGCAAGCCACAGAACCCGAGTGCATGGTGCCTGTCGTCCTCGGGGCCAAGCAACTCATCTTAGTCGGAGATCACTGCCAACTGGGACCTGTCGTCATGTGCAAAAAGGCGTCCAGGGCTGGACTCTCGCAGTCACTGTTTGAACGGCTTGTTGTTTTAGGTACTCATCTCTTATTGTTCACGCCACCTGTTTTCTAGTTCCTTATAAGTTTTAATGATATCAAATATTTAAATCTTCCCGCTAGGACTCCTGATGGTTTGATAAGCCCTTGTACTTTTTGTTTAAAAATTTTACTTATATATGAAGTAGTCTTCAGTCAGAACGCACTCAGATTTACTCTATTTTAATCGATTTTTTTGAAGTGTTATATTTGGATCTGTGATGCCTCCTTTCCTTGATTGCAAAGTTGCTTTTATCACTTTGGTGTCATTACATAGTAACCATCAAGAAAAATTAAATAAATATCAAGAATTCTCGAAGACTAAACGCTCATCACCGAAAATTCAAGAAAGTATCAATTTTTTTTTTATCCAGAGCCCAGATAATCCGCTCATGATAGCATCAAAATTTCAGGAACTTTCTGAAAGAGAACCGCTTTCCATTATGTCATTAGCAGATCTAGCCAATTGGAAAGGGAGGAACAAATCCTTCAAGCATCAACAGAAGAAATTTTTCTCCCCTCATCTCAATCTCTCCTCTCTCTTCACTTTCCCTAACTTTTTTTGACAACTTGCAACCACCCTTCCTACCTTATCTGAGTAGTAGTTGTGTTCTCCATGTAAATGCAAATTACTAAATCTGCTTTTAATTGCTGCAGGTATTCGTCCATTCCGGCTGGAAGTACAGTACCGTATGCATCCAGAACTTTCTCGCTTCCCATCCAACTTCTTCTACGAAGGTTCACTTCAAAATGGTGTTTGTGCTGATGAGCGTAAACTTCCGAAAATCGAGTTCCCTTGGCCAGTCCCCGACAAACCCATGTTGTTCTATGTCACACAGGGCCAAGAAGAAATCGCCGGGTCCGGAACATCATATTTGAACAGAACAGAAGCTGTGAACGTGGAAAAAATGACAACTAGATTTTTGAAGTGTGGAGTGAAGCCAGAACAGATAGGTGTCATCACACCCTACGAAGGCCAGCGTGCATTTTTGGTACAGCACATGCAGTATCAAGGGGCTCTCCACTCGAAGTTGTATCAAGAAATCGAGGTTGCATCCGTGGATGCGTTCCAAGGGCGAGAGAAGGATTTGATTATCATGTCTTGTGTACGTTCAAACGAACATCAAGGTATCGGTTTTTTGAACGATCCAAGGCGTTTGAATGTAGCTTTAACGCGAGCTAAGTATGGAATTATAATTGTCGGCAATCCAAAGGTTTTGTCAAAGCAGCCCTTGTGGAACCACTTGCTAAACTTTTACAAGGAACAGAAGGTCCTCGTTGAAGGTAAGTGATCATTCATTTCTGATTATTTGGATATTGCAAGTGACTAGGTTGTTTTCAAACGGGATTTGAGATTTGCAACAACCGTTTTTGACATAAGTCATGAAGAATCTAGTTGAGGTTTCTTCTCCTCTTGATTAATTCAGTTTTAATAGTTCATTTAGTTCATTTAATGTTAGTCTATCATTCATAGTTTAATAGTTCATTTAATAGTAATTCAGTTCAGTGATTATGTGCTTACATTTATGAAAATTATCATTATTATAATCATAAAAGAAAAAAAAAAATTGCAAGTAGCAGCATTTAACTGTCAGATTACACCTCACATCTTGTAAAATTTTAAATGTGGAAGTATTCTTTTAATTACCAACTCTTGCATTTTAAACAAGCATTTTTCTTACCTTCAGGTCCTCTGAACAATTTGAAAGAGTCCTTGATCCAGTTCTCAAAACCAAAGCAACTGGTCAACACAGTGAATCCTGGCAGCCACTTCATGTCGACCACTGTTTACGATGCTCGTGAAGCGTTGATACCAGGTAGCGTCTACGACCGCAGCGGAAATCACCCAGGACAAATGTTCCCCCGGCCAACCCTTGATATGTTTGCCCGCACGCATGATCCCATCGGATATATTTCCCCGGAAAGAGCACAAGCAGCCATGACCAATGTCCCCGTTCCAGTAGGCTTGCTCATGAATATGGCCCATATTCCACCACGATTCTATAATCAACAGCAACAGGCAATGCAAACACGAGACTCATCCAGGATGAATGGTAACTTGTCTCAAGGTTAGTTTGAAAATCCAAGTTACTCTTTTCTAAACCATGAATCTTTTTTGGGAAAAGAGGCTCTTGAGTCGCGAGAGAAGCTATAAATTGGGTTAACCTGTTGGTTGTCCTCCAAAAATTTGAGGGTGGTGTCTCCCCCGTTTCTTAGCATGAGTCATTCACTTCAAGCTTTTAAAATCAAGTTATGTCTTTAAAACAAAGTTTTTCAAGGCTGCCTATAAAAAGATAATGCATAGTCAATGAATTTTAAGGCCACAGTGACCCTATTCCCACCTCAAGAGATCACTGAGAATTTAAAATAGTTAAATCTTCCAGTTAAAAATGATTCGACGACAAAAATTTCAAAACTGTAGTGTTTCAAAACTAAGTTAAATTAGTTTTAGGGTTGGTAACTTCCATTTTTTTTTCAAAACATTTTAAATCTTTCATAAATTTATCGTTGAAGATTTTAGGTCAGCGGGGAAATAATGTATGTGTGGAGCTTCAATTGCGTGTATTTCCAAGACAAAAAAAGTGAAAACTTCACAACTTCACTCAACTTATTTGTAACAGCTTCAGAACATGAACCATAAATATTTTCAAATCAAAAATTTTTTTTGTCTCTTATTTTTTTTTCACTTTTTCTCATGTGAGTCGAGATTTTTTTTTTTTTTTTTTTTTTTTTTTTGGAATTGAACAATTCAATTTTTACTAATCAATGATCTTAATGATATCCTGGAATTTTCTCCATTTGTTTATCTGTTGTCTATATCTCAGTGATCCGTAAATTTTGTTATGAAACCAAGCATCAACAATAATCAGCTCTTCATGAAAGAACAATCGTTAATAGTCTTAAGTACTGAAATAACTCGGCAGGCTCTAAATCATTAATAATCACAGTTTAAAGTAAGTGTAAGCAATTTTATATCAGTTTTTCAACTTTATTTTCTCAGGTCGAATGAATCCTGTGGCTGGAAACCGGGCCCGCAAACCGCGCAATAAGCTTCAGTCAAACATGGTGAGCCAGAATTCCCAGGATCTTCCTCAGCCTTATTCACAGGGTATGTCGCAAGGAATGTCGCAGCCAGGCTTCAGTCTATCTCAACCAGGATTATCCCTGTCCCAACCAGAATTATCTCAGGACAGCTACATGGTTGGAGAGTTCCAGTCCCAGATGGATGGTCTCTTATCACAAGATTCAACTTATCAGGGTGATCGCTCAGCTTTCTTCAATCCACCACATCCACATTTCTCACAGGTTAGTTGTAATTTCTTGGCGCGTATACGTAGTATACCGCCTTTGCGATCGTTTCGACCCCCCACTCGATACAATAACCGAGTCCCTTAGTTCCTTACCGAAAAGTGACTACCGCGAACTTCTGAGATTTTCCAAAGCGTGTAAAAAGTTTATTTATCCGTCAATAATTATGATTTAAAGTTGTTTCTCATTCTGGGGCTCATTAGTTTATGTGCAGTGAATACCAAGAGTCTACGTTGCTTGGTTTTTTTTAAAAAAACCTTAGAATGCGACGCGCTGATTTAAAATATGCATATATAAGCAGAAGCAAGCGAACTGATTCGAGGATGGCTGATCAGGTCGGCACTCGTTGAATGAGAATTTCACTTCTTCGTTTTGTTTAAAACGTTGCTTTGACAGATCTCCACAACCCTGTTAAGATTTTCAAAAGTTGGTACCTCTTGCTCTGATAGCCGGGGCCAGCAGGATAGTTGTAAGTGCAATCTGTGATGAGCCTCGAGACTCATTAGACCATGTGCTAACCGTGGCCCATACAGAAATTCACTCCCCTATCAGGCCGAAACAGTGCACAGGCAGGCACAAAACCCAGGTAGTGTCCCGGTCCTGGCTCGGTTCGCCGCGTCGCTTCCCAGCTGAAGAACAAAAGGCGACCCTCGCGGTCCTCGTCACAGTCAGACCTAATTACTTTCACTCGATTACCCATTTCACCGTTACGCTGGGATCCATCAAATTTTCGAAAAAATTGTTTCGCGAGTACTTAGCAATTTTTTCCTTACTCTCCGTTCAAAGACGAATTGAAAGAGGTCTCATTCATAAAAATCGGCCGAATAGAAGAGAAGTTACAGTATTCGCAATCCGAAGAAATCAACGAAACTTCTCCAAACAAAAAATAAAATGAAGGGGAAAAAGAAATGTATAAATTACTATTAAATATAAATGACCTCAGAATTTGGCAAGCAATTCAACTATATAACGGAGAAAAAATTGGAAGAAATTACAAAAAATTCGCCTCTTGCAAGGGGCTTCCTTGTAAGAATTTTGATCTGAAGGCAAGGATTGAATACCAGCGCAATACACCATACAATACATGGCGTGCCTGAACGAACATTTTTTTTTGTGTCAAAATCGAAAATTCTTTATATTTTTTAACTACAGTGTCTCTTGAGTCGTTTAAGCCAAAAAAAAAATCCGTCAAGATTCTGGAAAGTAAAGGCGCTTTAAAAGTATTCTGGGGCTATGTATCCTAACTGTGTCCACACATGGTTTCTGTTCAGCATATCCATGTGTAAGTATTTTTACACGTAGAATCTAATTTTCACGTCAGGGAGTCGACACATCTCGATTTTTTCGATTTTATACGGAAAATTGATGGTTTTTCGGGATTGAAATTATTATTGTTTCATGAAAAATAAATGCACCCAAAATGACTATAGCATATTGATTTTTATATATTTGCTTCCACGAAATTGGTTGGTAAATTCAACGAGTGAGTGCATCGACCTGGTATATCAAGTTTCTGCAATTTTTTACGACAAATCGGTCTATTTTCGGGATGTAGATTGCTTACTTTCAATTCATGAATGAATAAAGCACGGACATGGTTGAACTTCTTTGCATGGAAATACGTTTAAAATAACAAAATCAAGACATATTTAATGCAATTACATTTATATTGAGTCAATTTCTTTTCAATAATATATCGGGATTTATAATAGATACCGGTGAGTTGGATATTTTAGCCCCCAAAATACCTTTAAATCGACTGTATCTTTCAGGAGTTCGACAGAATTTTTCCTTTCTTTGCTTAAGTATTACGTAGCACTTTTCTTTTAGAATCTGATGAGATATTGCTGGGGGCAGATCAAAAAACTTAAACTCGTTCGAATGGCTTTCTACATTCACAATACACGGTCTCGTCAAAGTGCGTCGTTGAAGTGTTGGATCGTATGAATTCTCTTGTTGTGCTACTTGCCTATTTTGAAATCTCTGTAAATGAAAACTAAAGGGGTTGATATGTGTGAGTTAATGACGCGCCTTATCAACACATTGTGTTGGAGTTCACTGCTTGTTTTTTTTTGTTGCCTCCTGTACTTCGTCCATTCATGTCCAGTCAATAAAGCTGGAAAGCACCTTTTTTTTTTCTTTTCTTTTTTCAACCGGTGTCAGTTCCAGTAGAATTGAGAATAGATCGACAAGTGGAATCAAGTGTCAATGAACCAGTGGAATCGAAACATGACTAATGATTCAAGTATCTTACAATTGATAGATGACTAGTTTATTAACTGGCAGAAAGTCAGAGAAAGTCAGGGAACTTACAACAACCTGAAAAAGACAGGGAATTCCCGGGGAAATGAGGGAATTTTTCCCTCAGGACATCAGCTCAGTGATTTCAGCCGGTGCCATTCATGAGAGCGCAAACAACGCCTGAGTGCCTGTTTCCTTACTTCGAATCCTTAGAAGTGGAGATTGTTCTCAGTTTAGCAAAAGTCAGTGTAATCAAAAGTAAAACAATTTAGGTGGAGGTTTTAATCGAAGGGTAGGAAAAGTCAAGGAATTGGTCAATTTTGGAGTCTGGGAAAAGCGAAAAAAGTCGGGGAAAGTTAAGGAATTAGAAAATGAAGTGTAAAGTGTTGCACCACTGATGATGGTGCGTACAGTCTGAAACACGCCTGGCTCTGTCATATCCTTGCCTGCAAGCAAGTCTTTACACAACTTGAATTTAAATTTTAAGATTCTATGTGCAGTCCAGCTCCCCTCCCGTTGATCGTATAAAAACCTTTCTTGTGTTACTCTTTACATTTTTGTAGCCTGACGGATCATCCTTATCATACAAAATTTTGTGGGATTTGTGTTCTTTTTTATGGAATATTTTCAGGAAATACTGGGAAAAAAAATCCTCAAAAAATCGAATAAGAGCAAATATTTTGAAATGCTCAAATGGAAAAACAGTTTCAGTGCAGCTGAAAGTAGACTTAGACAGTCTGTTTAATTCTTGGTGTTTTTCTTTTTCAGCAACCATACTGAGAAGCCAAGGCGAATGAAACTTCTATTATGACCGCGGGAGCGTTATAATGGTGCCATTCACCAAGGCATGTTGGTCTTACGTTGAAGAAACTGGCTATCTGCCACAACTCGGGATTCACGGAGATTTAAGTCTAGAAAAACTCGATCAGCTCTGATCGAAACAGTCTACAACAGCAGTGGCACTGCTGTTTGGTCACGTTCATGCATTGTTCGTGTTCTCATCGACAACTGTATTCCTTTCGTACTCTTCTTCTTTATACTATTTTTTTTTTTTTTTTTTTTTTTTTTTTTTTTTTGTCCTCTTTCAAAGCTGTTGCTTCTATCTTTCTCCTCTGAAATCTTTTATTTTGTTCTTTTACTCGATTAAACTTCTTGTATTTAGATTTTGTGTAACCAAAGGTTCTATTTCAGGAGTACTGGCATGCTTTGTTACGTAATTTCATTTTTTAGTGTTGCCTTTAATGTGACTAAATTCATGATTTCACCCAAAATTATTTCAAATTTTTAAAAATCGAGCAAGTTTTTCTTTTCTTTTAAAATAACTTCTTACTCATTTCATTTGAAACTCTTGTTGGAAAACTCTGGTGCCAATTCTTCTGAGATACTTCCATGTGTAAGTACTTTTGTCATTTTTTCAAATCATCTTTTTTTTAATTTTGTTCTCTTTATCATACTAATAGCTTTTGCTGTATTTAATTTCGGCATTTTAACACTAAGGAAAATTTTTGCAGAAGAGGACTGCAAGCATCTTTTTGGCGATTGCTTTTTTCATCATTTCTTTCACTACATCCTATTTTCTTATTTTTATTTTTGACCCATTATCTTGAAGTGAGGAAACATTTGATCATTGTTTCTTTGATTACATTTGTGAAATTTAAAAGATTAAAAGGATGGAACTTTCAAGCGAGCAAAGTAGGTCTAATGATCAATTTTATGCTCATCATTATTGTATCAGGTGTTCGCATAAATTGAAGCATCTGTGATTTATCAAAGCAGTACATCTTCTCTCTGTAGTAGAAGTTAGAAAGATATCATGTCTCATTGGAAGATGGAGTGGTTTAAATTAGAGCTTTAAGTTTGCATCTTTTTTTTTAATTTTTTTTTTTGATTGTCCAATAATTCAAGTCTTTTTAATGAAAAATGTCTCTTAGTGCTCTTCAGTGAGCTTTACTCGGAAGATATCAGAATGATTTTCAGCAAAAATATAATTATGGCCCCTGCTCAATTAAGTTTTGATGCAATAGGGAAAATTTTAAGCTTCTATCTTACGGATTTTCTTGCCTCAGAGCGAAATACATCATTACAATCTCAATAGATAGCTCCAAACCAGCGCTGAATATGCTCAAGCTTGCAAATTGTGCCAGCAGGAAGTGGAATAAGTGAAAAAGTTTAATAATCAAAATATTAAAACCTTTTAGGGTATTAACTACGGTAACTAGTTCAGACCTTCTTCAGTGGCCCATTGCGCTAAAGGCAGAAATAGTAATGATTAAGTTACCCGTTTTGAAACTTGACCCAAGAAATTGTTTATTTCACTGACACCATGAAGTTATTGACCACTTTCAATGTTTTTCTGATAGTATGTCCATGGAATTACATGATATTTAGAACTAGAATAAAGTGCTGAATTTCAATTCTTTTCACTGAAAAGCAAGGAGCAAAAGGTTGTCTCAAAAAGAATACGCAATTCCACTCGCATCTCTTATCCTCCAGTTATCTAAAACTGAGTTTTGACTCAGAAATAATTTTTTTTTTTCTCTCATGTATGTGGTCAATTGAATGTGAGCCTTCAACTTTCTGCATGTTTGCACCATAGTAAGCCGAGCCGTCATATCATAAGACCCTTAGTAGAAATTGTTACGCGGCAAGCCAGAGAACCTATTCAGTACGGATGATGTATGGAGACAGATAAGTCTTGTCCTTGTCTATTTTTGAGTCCTACAAATCATTAGATACAGCAAGCTCTTGAAGTCTCATTTAAGCTGTCGAGGGCTTTTTTTTAGCATTTTCCACAATGTGTCGCTGACCGCAGTTGATGCTGTATTTTTTTTTAATTGGGTGCAGCGCAGAGCGATTTAAGGTGGGGCTCCCAATCCTGTGGCAAGCAGCTTTTACACATGCATTTTAAAGAAAATGGGTGTCATGGTTACTGCATTCCACACCATAAGGTTATCTTTCCATTGCATTAACAGATCCTCTGAGATATATGTATTTTAAAGTATACTGAAAATGGGTCAATGAAAGCTAACTCTGTACTACGATGTTGAAAACATTTGAAGTGCTTTCTTTTATTAAAATTACCAATTAAGTTAAAGGTTGAATTTAAAAGATTCAAAGCTCCTGTAGAGAATTCTAATTCAATAATTTTCTCTTGGAGGACGAAAAGAAAGTGTTACTAAATAAAAGAAACTCTGTTTACAATGAACAAGTGCGTTTGAGTTCTCTTGAGTTTGAGAAACTGACTCATTGCAGTGTTTTAATTTTTGTTTTTTACGCAAATATTCATTTTCTGTCAAACTCGAGGGTGTATTAATCTAAAGCCAGGCATTTTTAATATTAGTATTCTGTCCGGAGTATATCATAGAGGTAGATGAACCATGACTTTTCTCACTCAATTATCTTGATTGATTAGGAGAATCGGTCATTTTTAAATGATGTCAGCTTACATCTTTCCAATGATAAGTTGAACTAAATCCTCATTCATCAGCAAAACTCTTTTGTTTAAGCGTAGCGAACAATATCATAGAAGTTATGGAAAGCTGTGTGCTGTCACTTTTGTTTTGTGCTGCAGCCTACGTTTAACACTAGTTTCCGCAAGAACTCAGTTTGTGTCAGTCATTTTTGCTGGTTTTTAGGGAGTCAGTTTAATAAGATAGTCCAAGTATGAGAATATAAATAATTTTTCAAGGACAAAATTTTCCACCAAAATGAAAATAGCCGAATGCCATGTAAAGTAAAGAAAGTAACAAAAATTGAAACACCATTAAAATTCAGACAAACAGCTCCTTTTGTTCTGGGTGCTTTGAATCGTCTACATCATGACCATTACTAAATTTTTATTTAGCATCGTTCGAAAATGTCCTGATAATCGTTTTTCTCATTGATCATTCATCAGAATGATATCACACAGGTAGATGAACTGTACTTTTGCCTTTCTCTAAGGCCGAGGTTTAAGTTCTTAACAATACAGATTAATGCAGGAAATGAAAGTCTTGAAATGAATGTTAAAAATTACTCCGAATTAGATGAACAAAAGGAAATAATTTGAAGAACATCTGTGGCTTGTGTGTAACTTCTTTTAAGTGTACTTCATTTTTTGTTGATTATTTTGGGTAATGAGTCACCCTAAAATTCTAAGTGCTACTGTGTCTGTCATCAATGTTGATTTATCTTGTTTTTTTTTTTCTTTCTTTCTTATTCTTTTTTTTGTAAGGGAAGCTGTTTAATTTCTAATCTGGCCCGTTAATTTTTATCCCTGTTTATGTATTTTCTGTTAAAAGTACGCAGGTGTTTCATGCGTTTTATTTTTATAAGAAAAATGACTTAGTAAACTCGTTTCAAATCCTACCCCTTGAAGTTTTTCATGTATGTCTAGACACCGATCATTGGACTTTGGTATTCTCTATAATGCTGCTATTAACACAAGGAAATCAGCGTAGGCTGTGCTCCCATGGAAAGTTTGGCGAGAAAACTGAGAAGTAAAAAATTTTTCTTTTTGAAGCAGAAACTCTTCTCTCCTCAAGAAATTCTCAGTTTTGCCCATGTCAGCTTTGTTTGATTCTCCTGGAATTGAGGACACCGCACCAAGATCAGTCTATAGGCGTATAGGTCGTTATTACGCCCATCTGCTTTTCGGATTCCACGTACCCTGGACTATGCTGCGGTAGCGATAGAATATAGATAGGTAACGGCTCAAGGTCGAAAAACCTTTTTTTCCGAGTTAAGTCAGGCGTCTGGATCGATGGGTGCAGGAACAACCTATACGCGCGGCCTTATCATTCTCGGTTCGCGGGCATCGCCGCGGTGCGGCGATAGTGATGGCTCGATTTGTTGATCTCATTTTACAAAGATTTGGTTTTATTTCAGAAAAACGAGCTATTGTAGTAATTTATTCTCCTCTCAAACTGTCCATTCCTCCAAAAATGTATACTTCGCATATTGCAACCAAAATGACTTGCCCGTAAAACGGGCCTATACGGTGCTAGTTACCCTTTTCTTTACTCACTATTGATATTCTTTCATTTTGCGTTAATCATGCGTGATTAAAATTATTTATACTTCATATTGCCACCAAAATGACTGTTGGGCGTAATAATGGTTCTATAAACCTCTTTTTTAAATTAAATATATTAGAGTGTAAACCCGAATTGTATCGCAAAATCTACCCAGCATCCTTCAGTAGAAGGGTTCGGTCACCCAAAAACACCAAAACAGGGTACCTGCATAGAAAAGTCTGCGCAGTAGGTACATCAAAAACAATCCTTTAAATGCGATTTTCTCAAAACGCGGTTTCCAGTTATAGGCTGTTCTTGCTGCAGTGTCCTAAATTGTTTTGCAATATACTGTTGATATGAGTTCCTTTTATTATTTAGTTAAATTACTCCTGCTTCTTAATTTTTAATTACTCTACAAAAATTATCCATTTGCAAAATACAATCCTGGCTTTAGCGCCCTTAAACTACCGCCTCAAAGGTCGAAACTGTAGTAGCGGCACAGGAAAACCGGAAAACCAAGCGGTGATGCTACTTCAATATTAAAAGCGTCCATCGCCTTGCTAAGGCGCAGGCATACAACTATTTGAACTCTCCGGAACGCGTGGGGTATCACGCCTCAATTGAAGGCGTTTTCGAATCTTCAGTATTTGCATGACGAGATTTTCCAAATTGTTTTGCAATATATTGTTGATTAGAGTTCCTTTTCTTATTTAGTTATATTACTCCTGCTTCTTAATTTTTAATTACTCTGCAAAAAGCATCCATTTCCGAAATACAATCCTAGCTTTCGCGCCCTTGAACTACGGCCTCAAAGGTCGAAACTGCAGTAGCGGCACAGGAAAACCGACAAACCAAGCGGTGACGCTACTTCAATATTAAGCGTCCATCGCCTTGCTAAGGCGCAGGCATACAACTATTTGAACTCTCCGGAACGCGTGAGGTATCACGCCTCAATTGAAGGCGTTTTCCATTCTTCTGTATTTACATGACCAGATTTTCCAAATTGATTGGCAATATATTGTTGATTAGAGTTCCTTTTCTTACTTAGTTATATTACTCCTGCTTCTTAATTTTTAATTACTCTGCAAAAAGCATCCATTTCCGAAGTACAATCCTAGCTTTAACGCCCTTAAACTACGGCCTTAACGGTCGAAAATGCAATAGCGGCACTCGAAAATCGAAAAACCAAGCGGTGACGCTACTTCAATATTAAGCGTCCACCGCCTTGCTAAGGCGCAGGAATACAACTATTTGAACTCTCCGGAACGCGTGAGGTATCACGCCTCAACTCTTTTTTCTCTTTAAATAAAACTGATGATGATTCTCTTCTGATTCATTCTCATGAATTGCGTGATGCATAGTAGGCCGACAGGAAGATAATTCCCACTTAGAGACGATGTGGAAGATTTGAAACTGCTGAGAATGAATGCGACATTTGTGATCTTTGGTTTATCATCAACAGATCTTGTTTCGACAGGGAACAAAAAGAAGGTACCACGAAGCACTCGCTTTAAGTGACCATGAAATTTACCCTATCATAATTTTTTTATGAATAATCGTCACATGAAGAAATGAGTTCATAATTCAATACAGGATTTTGGAATAATTACCTGCAGATGATCTCATGATTTTATAGGTTATATTCCGATATACTGCAGTTTTATTCTCGACTTATAGAACTGTCTAGCATGTGGTCAGTTAAGAGACTGTTCAGCAGGTAATACTTATGAGTGGTTTTTCAGAAAACCACACCATATCTTCTTAACTGGTGTGTCAGGCAAATAAATCAAAAAAATTTGTAAAGAGAGGATAAAAATATATTCTTCAGAGTTAACAATACATGAATTACTAGAAGAAAATAAATAAATAATTTTTAAAACTATAAAATCTTTCACGAGAAATTACAGAGAAAACTGACGGCTGAAAAAAAAGAGAGAATAATACAGAGTTAAAATCAATCTTGGAAATAATAAATATTGTTTCTATGTTTGCGGATAGAAGTTTTAGGGAATTTAAACGTATTTTATTTCCAAAGATTAATAGATAAATCCTCGTCGACATATTAAATATATGAATTATACATATTTTTTTAAAAATTAAGTGTGCTGAATAACACATCTTTGAGATCTGTCTCTGAATATACTTTAGAAAAGCTGAAGACTGATGAGCAAGAATTGGAAAGCAGGAGAGGGAGTGTTTTGTTTCTGTCGGATACGAATTCTAAAATGTAAGGACTCACTATGTCGGGAGACAAATATTCCTTTTACAAATAGGATTTTAAGAGGATTTTCTATGCAACTACAAAGAAATTTGCCAAGACAGAAGACAAAATGCTTAATCAGTCTCTAAAAACGATGGAATAATGTAGTGAATTTCCTTTGCAATTAAATAAACAATATGGCATGGCAAATTCCTTGTGTGAAATCTGACCTAATAAAAGTCCACTGTACTGCCGTGCTAAGGAAGAACGCTGTCTGAGCCCTCAAGAAGTTGCCTAATTTCTTTTGAAAAAATATGAATTTTCAGGAAAATCAGCGAATTTTTTTCGGCCAATTTTTCAGAGAATTTTATTCGCAATAAGATCTAAATTATCAAGCGATTTCAAGACATAATTTTCAAAACACTCCTCAACAATAAATTTTTTATTGGAGAAAATTTGGCAACTCTCGATCATATCTCGTTCACACGTGTTTCTCCTAAGTATTGCAGTATAATAAAGCTGCAATTCAGACATTAATATTTCAATTGTGGGTAGCCAAAGAAAGCATATTCAAGATTTCTTGGGTATCATCAGGCTCTTCGGTTGATTGAGACATTATCAATGATTATCGTGGCGTTACTTTAGAATTTGGTATACATTTCAGCCTAAAAAGACAAATAATGATTTCAAGAAAGACTCTGCTTAAGCCTGAGAGCTGAGCGATGAAGAACACGTTAAACCATCCGAAAGGTGAGTCATGTATAAATTACCTCTCTAGAGTAGAAATTTTAATTGCTTGTCTTAAATTGCTTAGCTAAATTAGTACTACACAAAATGGTAACAGCAAGATGAGGAGGAAAAGAGGAGGGAAAATTAAGTCTGAATAATGACGCATGTGTGAATAAAAAACTGATACCCATCTTTTGATCGTGGGCGCAGTGGAGAATCTTATTCAATTTCTCAGGCAATATTAAGAAATGAACATCAATCTGTAGATTTTTGTGTTGAACAATTTGCAATTTAAAATAAGGTAACTGAAGAGGGAATTCTGTACCTGCGTACTTTTTGTGTCTTCATTACATGAGAGGCTGAAATTCTCTCCAAAAAGAGGAAGAAAAACGGAAAACTTCAAGCTTGAAAGCATAGAAACTCTACCTAAAAAGTTAGGGGTTAAGTATTTATCTAGAATGGATCACAATTTAACATGAAGAGTGAAAAATAACGCAAGAGGTCTTGGATATGTCCACTCTTGTTTTCAGTGTCTGAGCCTCCAAGATAAACATTCAAAATCTACGATCTCTCCACATTTCAGCACTACATTACATCAGAGAAATGTGTGTATTACAGATTTACTTTTTAGAGAGAGAAAAGTATAAGTATTATACACTAATTCTTTTACAATCGATTTTATCTAGGTATTTTCAACAGTTTAGCAAAAATAGACTAAATGATATAAAACAAAATCACAGAGAAGTAATATTTCACAACAAGGAGTAGTGCTCCTACGGTAAGAGCCTCGATTTTGAAACTCTTGACAGAATATTGTCGAATGACTCTCTCCTTGCTTCGTCTTCCCCTTTCTCTGGAACCTAAGAATATCCAACAAGGAATGAGAAAACTAAATTTTACTTCAAAACAATTTCTCAAAGCAGGGGAATCGGGAAAGGAAAGCACAAAAGTTTTAGCTATAATTTTTGAAAAAATATTCAATTAAGACTTTAAAATTTGCCTTCGTTCTGAGAGTTTAAATATTTTGTTGAAGCACACCTTTGAAACAATTGGCCAATAGATGAGATAAAATTTTGGAGACATTTTTTTCCTTGCTCTAAATTTAGTACGATAAAAAATACCCATCTGAATAAGTTGGAGAAGTAACTCCTTCGAATTAAAGAAATGACTGATATATAAAAAAAAGGGTTAACCTTCAGACATTTCTATTTCTTCTATTGCGTTAACTCATAGTAGATTAACGAACATATTGATAGAACTTGGCTGATTCTGCTTAAACCTGTTCATTTGAATATATGAGGCATTATTTTACATTGGGTTGCGTTGTTACGTTCATGATAGCTTAATTTCAGTGGCGAGGCGTGAATGATTGATTATGGATATGTTTCCATTTGAAGCAATGGTAAAAAATCGATTACTAAGGTGCTTGTATCGAACACCCTATTCATTGATCCTTTTCCATACCTTTAAATGGCAGATCAATTGATAAATCGCAAAGCACGCCACGCCACTGCTTTATTTGTAATTCTCAAGTGATTTCACTATCACCTTGGAATTTGAAAAAGAGGAGAATTAAATTTTGAAAATTTTGCAACACTCAGCTCGTTGAGTATTTTTGTAAAGAAGCACATCATGACTTAAAATGAAAAATGTTGTGATGATGTAAAATTTTAATAAAATGGATGCGATACATACATTGAACAGAGACACAATTTGAATTGGAATCCTATCTACTGGCCTGCTAAAAAACTATATATTAGGAGCAGCTATTCACTCATTAAAATGTCTTCACTATAAATTATGTCTCAAAGATTGGCTCTTAACCAAATAATTTTTGTGAGTGATAAAATTTCTCAACAAAACATAAAATTTATAATCAATAACAAATACTCTACGAAAAGGGAGATGCAATACACTCGAATCCTTCTTTTTCACTAAGTAAAAAAATTAAAATAATAAAATACATTTTGATATGCATCTACAAACAAAGAATTCTTTATAATTATACACTAAAAACTCTTAACATTCCGTAACAGTGAAATCATGTACAGCATAAAACAATGTTCTTAAAAACTATCCAAACAAATGTTATTTCATTAAAAAGAGGAAATAGGCTGCAATCAACTGGGGTGAATATAGCCTAGGACGAGTGCCTGCACTGTAAAATTTTCATGATGATAGTGCAGGAATAAAAACTGAAGGACTTGCGCTTAAGGAGGATGATTCAGGATTAAGTAAAAAGATTTCAGAATTCAATCTGTCTAGGCAAATAAGACTTGTTTGCTGGTGTAATGTTTTATCTAAAGCGGTTTACCTTACAGGTTATAGCAGGAGGTTTTTACGTGATACCTGAAGTTTCAGGAAATATACATTCTTTTAATATTTTGACAACATTCATAAATGAAATCAAGTGAAAGTTGATATTTGGAAGATAATTTCAAGTGCTTTTCTCATTTTTAATCTAAAAAAAGGGAATGGCAAATTCATTCTGTGTGTATGTGTGTCGGTGAGAGGGGGATGGTATCAAACCTTTGATTCACCAAAATTAGTTAGTGTAGAATGCATATATCCAGAGACCTCCAAATTGAATTTACCCATTTGTTAAATTACAGTAAGTGCAAAACTTTTAGAAAACAGTGTAATTTAATGCATAAAGAATGCCATGGTTAAAGATGGGGGGCGGGGGTAAATACTCTCAAACTTTGGGGCTAAATGCCTGGAAAAAAGAATCCATCTACATAGGTTCTGGAGAAAGGATCCGTTTAGGTTTGGGAAAAAAAGGATATGCCATACTGAGGTCTTATTTTCACTCGAAAGATGAACTCATAAAATTTTTTCCCATAATCTTGAATCACCCTGCTCATCGAGAGAAAAGAGGAATAATTGTTGATGCGCCTCTGCAAAACAAGAAATATTTTAAACCTTACAAAATTAAAGAGTGGTTTTTCTAATGTTTATTCATTGAAGGAAAATATCAAAACACACAAAAACTAGACATGCATGAGAGCAGAAGAAAGAGGAATTGAAATGGGAGACATGAACACGGGAGCAGAAATCCTCATTGATAACGAGAGAGGGACTTCTCAATTTCGATATGGAATTCATTCGCAAGAGAATGACTTTAGTGAGGTGTGCAGATGTAACTAACACATTGGTTTTTTCAAGAAAAGTGCTGAAGAACAAAGTATAATGTTGTGGAAAAGGAGAAGAAGACGTCTTAATATCATTCCCAAAAGTTGTTACAAAAACTTCATCGCCAAACAAGGTGAAGGGTTAAAACAAGTGTACCACATTGCATTGTAGGTTACAGGCTTATATCATCTATTACTAAGAACGAATCTTTGGAAATGAAGAAAGGACTCAGTCCGTCCTATCATCCATTGCAGGACGAGCTATTTTTTCCTGCTTCTAGGGGGCATAAAATACCCACTCTACTAATTAGATGAGAGAAAATGAAGGTGTCTGATAAATACAAAATCAATGAGAGTTGAAAACATTTCCTGGGTACAGTGCAGAATGCTCAAGAGACATTCATTTTACATTTTAATCAGAAACAATTCGGAAAGAACGTAATTACATTTTTTCCTGTACACCAACGAGCGATAAAGGATAGCTGAAAAAAATCAAGGCCCTGAGAAATGGCCAGAGAGGGTTATATATGGAGAAATCTCCAGCTTAAATGCATAAAATTCCGTCATAATTTGAGTTTCCCGTTTAAAATTAAAAGAAGCTTAATAAAGTTTAAAAAATATTAAGTCTGGTCTGCAAGATAATCGTACCTATTTTGAAACTTTTGATCTTCCGTTTTGTCCATTATGGGTGATGAAAAAATCTTGAGTAATAAAGTGCCGATAGATCCAGTCTAATAATATTTTGTTTGGATTTCCTTGGTTCAGATGCATTAATGTTCAAAGGTTAATAGAGGCGTGCATGAATCTTTTTACTGTGCCTGGGAAAAGCTGAACTTTACACAGGATACAGCTGATAAAATTGTATTACCAAACAAAGGAAAATATAATTACAAGACTTAAAATAATGAGCAATTGTTTTAAAAACACTCTAGTTTATGACTAGTTAGTTAGTACTGATACCCTTTACATTAAAGAAAAAAAAATTAAAAATAAAGTAACACTGCCAGAAAGGTATGATGAACCTGCTCTTTTTGGGGAAGTTATCAACTCTATAAGTCCAACACTTTTTTGAGAAGATCATTTGTGACAACCTTGTACCACTAGAGAAGGCATGGAGACCTCTTGAGTGAGAGAGGAGACCGCGCAATCTCATTAATAAGAAAGAAGCTGGATAAAATGAGCCATCTGTAGACCAGGCGAACTGTGTTACATTTTGAGGGCTTAATGTGCTCTGCAACGTGGCACGATTAGCAGAACTGCAAGCCCCTAACCGTATTAAAATAAGAATACAATTCATGACTAACAAAGATTGCAAAAACAATTGGGGTTATTTTAGGGAGAAAATATTACAGCTGCATAATTTAGCATCCACTGACTGATGCTGTAAATACTTGCAATTCAGTAAGGGCAGGATACGATTGTTTTTGTTTGGTCTGGTTTGCTGTTATTTAAGAGGCTTTATCAATCTATATCTCAATACACATTGCCTGGTGCTTATATCTTGGCGCAAAAGTGTAAATACAAAGTTGACCGATGAGATGCACACTTTTATTGTTGATTGAGTGATCACTCAAACAGACTTCATTTCGGATGTGACCTTTCTCCTTAATTGTGACTCCTTTTTACCACCGTATTTGTCCTTAAGTGAGGGGAAGTAAAAAGACTCATGTAAACAATGGAGATCAGCAAAAGTTTCTGCAGAACTTAGGAGCCGTTCATAAAATATGTGACGCTCTGGAGGAGGGGTCAAAAAGAGCGTAACAACATTTGTTTTACATGATTAAGGACAGGACGTAAATAATAAAAGCGTTAAGGAGGGGATTTTTCAACAACTACCTATCGGTAGTTGTTGAAAAATCCTAGATTGAGCATTACGTATTTTATGAGCGGCCTCTGAACCAATGCTTGCAAATGACTAGTCAGGTTTGGTGCTATGAAATGAAAATAGAAAAATCCACTCAAGTGGCTTGACCAATCAAAAATAAAAGTAAGCCTATGCATTACACTTCGTTATTGCAGAACCAAAACAAAAAACAAAAAAAAAGGGGGCAGTTAGTAGCCATGCAAAAAGTGGAACAACTGCGAACAAAAGAAAGAACGTATGAACTGGGAAATTTCCCAATTACACATAATTGTGTACGAAAAGCAAACTTTCAATGAAGTCAATAGCACAAAGTAGAAAGATACATAGGGCTATTAATTGTCTGACAAACAGTGGGGAAATTTGCAAACTTTTAAAATTATGCTTATAAACAACTGTACAGAGTGTAAAAGTAGCGAAGACCACTGCTCTGAAAATTACGGTTTGAGATGGAACATCAAAAAATAAAAGAGATGTTAAATTTCTGAGGTAGGTTGATAATTTTATCTCGATGAGAGATAATTTTACTTTTTCTCATAAAAAGAACATGAGCGTATGTTTCCTTCCTTTTGGAAAAACAACACCTCAATTTTGGTTTTGTGTTTCGTTTGATAAAGGTATAGGTTGGTCCCTTTCGACTGAGTTCAGTTCAATTACGTATACTACATCTGAAGAGGTTTTGTAACAATTACGCTGGAGGTAAAATAAAAAAAATAGTTGATTCGCCTCGACGTGCAGTGGATCCTGTGTTCAAGAATGATCATCTGCCGAAATCTAACTGAAAAACCAAGCTACACTTAGCAAATATCAGTTAGTTCAAATACCTAGTTGGATAATATATCACACTAGGTTGTCACAGAACAGTGGTCCATCGCCTTGCCCTCAAAAAACTAAAATCAACAAGACAGTCTTAGATGACTTGAAAAATAAAGTATCATCACATTAAACAGAATCGTAGATACATTTTTTATCACTATTAAAAATTCTAATTAAAAGAAATACGATTGAGATGAACAGCCAGCTCACCGGAAGAAGCTGAAAACACTTGCGGAGCTCTTGTAGATGCTGTCTTTAGTGAGGTTTTCTCCTCAAATGCCGGCTCCAACATTGATTCTTACTTCATCATTCTTTACGCACACGTTTCTTGATTGCTTTTTTTGATGGCTCCTTGAAAACCTCTGAAAAAGTCAGCAAATTAATTATGTAGATAAATAGGATTTTTTTTTTTTTTTTTGAATTTCTTTAATTTTGTGTGCGGTATTTCATCAGTGCATCAGAAAAATTTGAGAGCTGCACACTTTGATTATTGTGGAAAGCAAGGAAATAAAATATTGTTTTCACTTTGAACTAAAAGGGTCAGAAAAAAATGAAAACTAAAGAGTACTCGAAGAATAAAGATAGTCTCTTAATTTTGTGGTAAAATTGCATGTACATAGTAATTAAAAAATGCAAATGCACAAGATACCTGTGTAAAATGTACATACATGTCGCTGCCTCTACAGGAATATTTTTAGAAGCAAAGAAATAGTGATTATGCATTAAAAACAGATAATGAAGGAAGCAAACAAGACTAAAGTTTTAAGAATAGATGAAAAGACCACCTTATTGCCAAAACTCAAGGAGACTCAGCTTTATGAACTCAGGAATTTATTTATTTAAGTATATCATTAGGAATTTATATCATTTATATATTAAGAATATCAGCTTCATAAGGGCCGACAGATGCCAATATAGATTTCCTTGACAAATTGTGAATCAGTATAGAGGAACCGTTTAAAAATGCACAGTCATTATAATATTCCTAAATTTTGTAGAGAATTTTTCGAAAGGGAACGCACATGTGACCTGGTCTGTGAAAAGGAAACTTATCTTCTGGGTGTAAAATTTTCCTTAACTTTTTGCAAATACTTAAACCACATTTTTCTATACATATAAAGTCGCTTTATAACGCACTCTGGCGTTCTACGACACCCAAACGCCACATATGCCTGTCTTCCCAGAGGTTATCGGGCAACTGACACCGCAACATCTCTTCGTCAACGCCCTGCCGCCAACCCTTTACGGGACGTCCCCGTCACCTCTTCCCAGGTGGTACCCAATTCAAAACTTGTTTGGGCAACCTCTCCTCCGACATTCTTTGCACATGTCCATACCAGCATGACTGCCTGGACATGACGTCGTGCACGATATCTTTCTCAACCTTCATCACCTGGCGAATTCTCTCATTACGGATATGGTCCCGTCTCGAAATGCCGGCAGATCGCCGCCAAAAATCAATTTCAGTTGCCCTCAACATTTCTTGCGTTCTTTTCGTCAAAGGCCACACTTCACTACCATAGAGCACGATACTTTTAACGATGGCGTCATATATCCGGTGCTTGTTTGCCTTTGAGATGCTCTGATCCCAGAGCACCCCGTTCAGCATCGCGATGGCTCTCCTGCCCTGGATGATCCTGTCCTTAATTGCTCTATCCATCCTTCCATCCTGATCGAGCCAAACACCGAGATACTTATACTCGTCACACTCTTTGATGCGCTGTCCATCCTCAAGCTCTATGCTTTGCCATTGATGCGCTGCTCCCACGACCAGCTTCTCTGTCTTGGACACACTAACGTCCATGCCCCATTTCCGATATTCTTCGACCAACTTCCGCGTCATGTAATCTGCATCTTCCTCATCTTGAGCTACAACGATCTGGTCATCCGCAAAGCATAGAGTATAAAGGGTCTGCCCATCAAGGAGTGGAACACCCATTCCCGCAACCTTATTTTTCCATTCCTTTAACACGTGCTCTAGGTATACCTTAAATAGTGTTGGTGACAAACAACAGCCTTGTTTTAGCTCTTTTGTGACGAAAAAACCTCCGGACAACTCTCCACGACATTTGATTTTTGCTATTGTTCCGTTATAAAATGATTTAATTGCCCCCACAAGTCCTTTGCTAAAACCTCTTTTTTCCAAGGCTTCCCAAAACTTCACTAACGGCACGCTGTCATAAGCTTTCTGAAGATCCACAAACACCAAGTGCAGCTCCTGGCTGACCGCCCTTTTCTTCTCGATGACCTGGGTAATGGTGAACAAATGGTCGACGGTAGACCTACCGGCTCTAAAACCAGCCTGTTCTTCGGCTTCCTGGCCGCTCCAAACCTCTTCGACCTTTGCTTTGAGAATTTTACCGTAGACCTTGCTCAAGGTTCCTGAGACCGATATACCTCTGTAGTTGTCGCAATCTTGCTTACAACCATTGAGCATTGACCATTGCATTTTTCTACAACCTAAAAATATTTGTTTTGAAACTTAAGAAGTGATATCTCCTTCAACTTTTGAGATTTTAAGATCAGGTTGACTGGTCAAATCTTGAACTATGATTTTTTGCAATTTTTCTGACAGTATTTTAGTATTGAATTGAACATACCTGCAAACTCATCATAGACAGTTGAACTTCCCACTGGCGGTTCATCTGCAGAAGAAGCTGAAAAAAAAATGAAAATATATCATATAGGTGCACATTCCACTATATTTTGAGTTGCCAAAAACAAGGAAAAGACCATGGACTAATTGAAGACAAAAGCCTCACCGGCTTGGTAGAAAGATTAGGAGTTGACAGCATTGAAAATCAAAACAATGCTGATCATAGTGTAACAACATTAATTTTTAAAATAGATAAAAATAAGAATTTGTATCCGCTTGAGGAAAGATAGGATTTTAGTCTTGTAAGAAAATTTGTCTAGACACAAAAAATAATCTTAAAACAAATCTGCGAATTGCAGCAAATGTAAGGTAGGGCTTTGTATTTTTTTTCATACATCATGTCATGTTCAAAAATAAGGAAAAACAAAAATATTCACATGAGGCAAAAATCTTGAGTTGAAAGGAAAGGCCGAAGTTTTGAAACTTTTGGTACCCCTAAAGGAAGTTAATGATAGGTACTGAATACGATACTGTTTTAGAATGATGTTGCAAGTTGGAATGTAAAACTGTGGGCCAGAGACTTTATTCTGATTGGAGATTGAGAGAATGGAAATCTTTGAGATGAGGGATATTGAAAAATACTTTAAGAGTCGGCCACAACAAAATTCATATTTCTGATGACTCATAACCTAGGTAATTCATTAGAATATAGCTGCATGGGGAGGCACAACATTATAGCACTTTCCTTACACAGTCGCTGCCAATATAAGAGGCTCTTGATAAGACAACCGCCATCAAACTATGGTGTATTGTTGCCAAAGTGGGAATCAGTGCACTTGATATTAATTATAAAAATAACCATCAATGGGCGGTAATTTTGAGACGCTCAAATGATGGGATGCTTTAGACTCAAAATCAGCTAATAATTTACGACCTAGTAAATAAAGTGCGATCGCTCATCCGCCAGCCGACCAAAATTTTCTATGGTTTAGTCGAATATTGTAACTCACATTGGCTTTTCTTTGCTTCTACATTCTTCTTTGATGGTGCTGGTGCAACCACATTGTTGTCCAAGCTGGTGTTGTTTTTGTTGTTGGTTTCATCCGAGACTGCTTTTAACGCACTAGATCTGCAAACAAATTAAATAAGATATTAGTGGGTAAAAGTGAGTTGAGTAAAGACTTCGATTTTACTGGAATCACAATATTGAGCCAAAAAATATCATGCTGAGATTTCACAACATTCTAGAACATTTTACTTTAAGGAAGATGATTAACTGTGTCCTACAGAAATTCAAACATTTTTTATCCTCCTCCCTTCTCCCACCACACAGATCTTGACACTATCTAACTCTTCTTGAAACATTACTCCATCCATCAGAGACTGATCATCCCCCCGTTAAAAAAACAATAGATAAAATTGAAGAAGACTATGCTGCCTCCATTGCTATAATACGTCTCAAGCTGAATCTACAGTTAAGTAAAATACAGTATTAAAGACGAAAACTGAGAAATTAAATTATAAAAAAATGCAACTGGAAATATATACTCACTTGGATGATTCCTTATCCTTCTTGCTTCCTTTTTCCTCCGTTATCTTCGTAACGTTTCCATCTGTTGGCAAAAAATAAATACTTGAAAGAATAAACAGAAGAGAAGATTAAGACCGTTGTCTTCTTATTGATAAACCAAGGCCAGTCACAAAACCATGAGCAATGTAGATGCAGGAGATTATGGGGTATTTATTGTGCTATCAACCAATAAAAAATGCATAACAGAAACGGTTACAGTAAGTTTACAGTGCTGCAAGGAGATATTTAATAGTCAGTTGATAAATCGACAATGGGCCTGCTGTAAAATTTTGCCAGAGCAAGAAGACACACCTTGCATATATAATTGCTCAAGACTTCCGATTAACGCATGCTAGACCAATCCACACAGGTCAGTTGTTCCTACAATCAAATTTAGACACCATACTGGGCAGTAATGGTGAGAAGTTTGTATGTAATGCATTTCTTACGGAGTCTTCTCAGGATGTGCCCATTTTTTGTCATACGGTCACGGATATTTTTTTATAATAATTAAGGAAGAGGGCCCTCCTTGGCAGCTGTGCGGTCCATCACACTGAGGCACAGTGGACCTTTTTGGTGTGAGTTCAGAATACTTGCATACTTTTTCTCTTCTTATCACTTACCGGCATTGTAGTTGGCATTTGGGTCTTCAAGTAAGGCTTTGCGTGCTCGACGTTCTTTACGAGATATCGCTTGCTCCCATCCGCCATTCTCTTCTTTGGACTTGAGAGGTAACAGCCTGATCAACCTTTTGTTTTTTCCCTCCACGTTTTCTTTGCCTTTGCCTGGAGACTTGGTTGCTTTTTCTTTCGGTGAATTGGTAGTTTCAGTTTTCTTGTCTTTGGCATTCACCTTCTCCTTCACAGCTTTCTTCTCTGCAGGTTTATCTTTCGGCTCATTCTGTTTCTTCTCACTCTTGGTCGGTGATTTTGGTGTTTCTTTCTTGGCGTCTGACTTTGTCTGCTTTTCTACTGGCTTTTCAGTGACTGCATGACCATTTTGACTTTTCTGTGGACAGAGAAAAATTCAACTTGACATTTTTTAATTGAATAAATAATAATGAATGATTCATTTCCTTAGCGTTAAAAACTGTGCTACTAGATGATACTGAAGCAATTAGGAGGAAATTTTCCGGAAAATGAAACCAATCACAGGTTTATACAAACACAAGATCCTCATGTCACACTCTGTTTACTTCTCGGTAATGAGTAAAAATAGATATAAACTATAGTACCTAGTTGCCAACCTGAATCAATCTCAGTATTTTAAAATAAAAAGGTGAAAGCAGCTCTCCTAACTGTGCGTAAACTGTAGAATGGTATCATATTAGTAATCCGTCTTTAGGAAGTTCAAATCATCAACTAATGTTTTGAAAAGAATAATAACTCTGTAAAACAAGCATGGCTCATGAAAGTTATCCTGTGCTGCACAACCAGACAGTGTATTTAATATCACACGATAAGAGAACTCTTAAAGTGGGGCAATCCCTGAAAATATGTTGGCTTGAGAAGATGAGAAAAAGCTGAGACCCATTCTAGCCATGTAGTTGAAGGCATTCCCATGTCCTGTCGTGCGGATATGAAATTTCAGTGAATGACCTACAGTGTACTGTCTTGTGGCATGAAATGCATCTTGCTTGCTCTTTCACACGAACTAACTTTTACAGTTGTCGGGCAAAATCTAACCTAACAAGGCGCTAAGATAAGCCTCAAGATAGGCGCTAATGATATGGTAAGTTAAAGCTTTGGATAGCAGAATTGGAACAGCTTGACTTTAAAGAGTTCCACTCTGTGATTTCAGAACAATATGAGACAGGCTGCTGAATTTTTCTGGGTAAAATGTGTGAAACATACGTACCTTTTCTTTAGGTTGTTTTTTCTTCTTATTTGCTGACTTCTTCTCACTAAAAGGTGGTTCGCCAATATTTCTAAAACTAAAAACGAATACTAAGACTGCACTTAGAACTACGGTCGCTAATAAAACTGCGTGAAGCGCGTAAGGAGGTAAATAATTGATTATTTGGTAAAATTCCATTTTGACAACTAAACTGTAAGTACCTAAATCTTAACTGAATTGCACAGAAAACTAAGCACTAAAGATTTTCATGCCAACTCAACGAAGAACTTGCTAGCATGTAAAATAAGGGCACTTCAGCAAAATTCCCCGAAGCTTTTTTTTCCTTTTCAAACAACGGGTCATACAAAAATTTAGAGTAATCAGGTAATCTTGACCCCGTAATAACACGTAACAATTTTTCAACGTAGTAAAATTGCGCAATTAAACAAAACATTCCACATTTAAAACTTGAATATCTTGCGGTGTTTAGCGAAAGACCCGACCAAATAATTTTTGATTTGAATATTTTTATTTTTAGATCTAAATTTTATCAGGAAAAAGCATTCTTTATATTTAAAAAAGATGAGAAAAGAAAATAGAATAAAATTCGACGACAAGACAACGGCGATTAGTTGAACGTCTGATGAGTGGTGAATTTTACTGGTGACGCAACAGAGCAACGTTGGCATATAAGATGTTGCAAAATGTTTCAATAAATTGATGCAATGGCTGTTGCCGTTTGGAATAAATGTTTTTTTTTTTAGCCTACCCAATGAAATGAAGGCGAAATAATAATGTGTGACCAGCCTCCATAATTAAGTTCATTCTATTTCCGCTTTTTATGCAAAAATCAAAACCCATTCATTAAGTATACTCGGTGAGGAAAATAGACCAAAAAAAAAAAAAAAAAAAAAAAAAAAAAAAAAAAAAAAAAAAATTATTACCTATTTAAAGAAATATATTGATCGTGAGATTGAAGACTGCATACAGACAAAATACAAACAAAAAATTATATGTATATAAATGAATAAATAAATAAAAAATACACACGAACCCTTAGCCGGATTCACGTAATTGTGGCCCCCATACGCGACTTATCGCCGCGAGGGGAGGGGGGTTTATGCCGCTCCTAAATTGCATACCCATCACACTATTTTAGGCAGAGTTTCAGCTTCAGCCTCTCATCCCCTATTATTTCGACCTATACTGCCGTGCCTAGGAAGAACGCCGTATGAACATTCGAGAGTCGCCAAATTTCCTCTCGGAAAATATTCATTTTTTAAGAGGGTTATCAATATTTTTCCTTGAAATTTTCGATCAAATTGCAAACTAAACCTGAGACATTGGAGGAAAAATATTCACAAATTATCCCGAAAATTAGTGATTTTTCGAAGGAAATTTGGCAACGCCTGAAGGTTCATACGGCCTTTTTCCTTTGGACGGCATTAGTAAGTCATCATCTTGCATGGATTGAATCGCCACGTTGCCGCGCCGCCCTTCCGGCGACAGGACGTGGGCGTTTGCAGCGGCGCCAAATTTTCGTTTTCCTCCTCGTAAATTTTGCCGCCCTCCAAAATTTCAGGCCAAATCCAGGCCGCGGCTTCGACGATCTGTGTATAAATCCGGCCAGGCACAAACCAAACCACTTAGGCCACTTAATTATTTTCGGTATGGTACATATACCATTAAATAATTCTCTGAATATGTAGATGAATTAGATTACATTTTGCAATAAGGAACCACTATTTCCGGCCCATTTTAGAAACAGCATACATGCTGTTGGTTTTCCTGTGCATATGCGCTTTTATGGTAGAGTCAGAGATAGTGGTTCCTTATTGCAAAATGTAATCCAATTAGTTTACCAATACCGCATACAAGAGTGGGAATGAATATATTGTATAATACAAAATTATAGTTATTTGTTGAACAATAAGTTCATTTCTAGCGACCGACTCGCCCTACGCTGCTTCTGATTTCATTCTAAAGCGTAGCCAGAAATTTTCATATGAGGAAGGCTTGCAACATTAAAGTTAGGTTTTTGAAAATCTCTCTCGATGTCTTTACACGATGAATAAGCTAACATTCATGTGCTGCTTTACTTACTCAATAAGAGAATTACTTATCTCTTTTCTCAAATTAACTTGCTGAACTATCAGCCAAGAAGTTCAAATCTCTACTTGATATCTCAAACATGATCAACAAGCTAACGTTCATATGCTCCTTTTCTTTCTTTCTTTCTTTTTTTTAAAATAGGTACATACTTCTTTGTTAATAGTCCATAACAATTTAATTTCAGGAACGTGATGGATACATCACTGACTGAGAAAGATTCAGATCAGATTCAGATTTCATTTATTTTCTTTATTAATAAATGAAATCTGAATCTGATCTGAATCTTTCTCAGTCAGTGATGCATCCATCACGTTCCTGAAATTAAATTGTTATGAACTAACAAAGAAGTATGTACCTATTTTAAAAAAATTAGCGTCTGCCCAGAGCATTCCGTGTTTTGATAGCCCGGAATTCGCGGCTATGGAAGCCATCGGTGAATGACCCTCACAGCCGCGAATTCCGTGCTGCGCGTCCGGAGCACTCCGGGCGTTCGGCTTCCGGAGCACTCCGGCCCCCGGACGCGGAACGGACGGTAGCAGTATATAGCCCGTACATTCCGTGCTCCAGGTCCATTACTTTCGGCTCGCACGGCCGGAGGTTTTTTTGAGTGTGGGAATATGGGATTCTTCGGTCTAAAAATTCTCGGGGAGGGGGGGAGATTGTAGAAAAACCCTAAAAATTGCGAAAAAGGAGGTTTTGGCGGAAATTTTCCGGCAAAGGAGGGTCCGCATGCCACAAAGAACAACCCCCCACTGGGCTATGCCACTGGTTTTTTTCCGGTTGCAAAATTTTAGTTTACTGAGTTAATATAAAAACTGAAAACTCTGATTTCACAGATTCATTAATTGAGAACTTCTTAAAAAGTTTTAACGGTAATCGCCCTAATTTTCCATGAGAAAACGTACCTCACAGTACAGTCTTCCAGTTTTTGTCTCGTCTAGTGGTCGAGCATGGCTCAAATTTTAAAAGCTTTTTGGGGGCTTTGGAGATGATCAAGACAAAACCAAGGCACAATTACGTTTCTAAAGAAATTTCACGCCAAAAGGACATTTCGTTTGATTTCAAATTCCTGACTTTGTCGGAAGAAGTTCCCTGCCTCCCTTTGTTCCTGTCATTACGCTCCCGCTCATGGGAGACAAATTTATTCAGTAATTTAATTGTTACGTCGCGTCGCGTGAATTTTATGTATATAGATAGAGGCAAGAAATGCCAGAGGGCCTTCAATATTTCCTCTATGCAACATTGGCAGCCATCGATCACGATAAGTTGCATCCATCAGCTGATGGATGCAACTTCCCTGGTAAAAATTGGCAGTAGAATCTGTGTTCCAAAATACCATAGACCTACAGCCGGCTGTAAGATTTCCAATAGCTTCTATAGCCGGCTACACAATTTCTTATAGCCTTTTATAGCCGATAGCGATTAAGCAACAGCCAGGCGATAAAGTGTATGCTAAACGTTACTAATTACGGATGCTAGGACTTAGTGAGTTTTTGGAATGCTCTCTTTTTGGGCCGTAGTATCTTGATTTATTTTGCGAGGAAAGTTCCGTGCTTTTGATGGATGCCTGCCATTACTAATATATTAGAGCGCCCTCAGTTTCGTATGATACTGTGCAATACCTCTGGTGTGAAATAGTTGCTTCAAGCGCCGTGGCAGGCGGGCAGCCAGCGCGGAACACGCTTTGGCGCCTACAAACCTAACAGGGATACTTCACGCGTTGCGCAATGCGTGAAGTATCCCTGTTAGGTTTGTAGGCGCCAGTGCGTCGCCGCTCCGCTTTTTGTTAGGCTCTAATATTTAATCTGGCGGAGTCAGCGTTATTCAACTCATGATTTTGAAATGTTTGCACATCCTGTATGGATTATTCTCATTTTAATTGATGAAAAAAAATATGTATTAAAGGAAAATATAATGTGTGTTTTGTAAATATTAAAGTGGTTCCGTATCAAACTTAATGATTTCCAAAGCACACGAATTTCTACGCAATTTCTTATAGCTTTTTATAAACGATGGCGAAAAAGCAACAGCCAGGCGATAAAGTGTAAAGCCCGGCGATAGGAACTATCGCCCGGCTGCATAATTTTTCATCGCTTCGTATAACCCGGCCGTATGATTTTCTGCGCATTTTACAGCCAATATATATATATATGATATATGTGGCTATATGATTTTCTGTAGCCTTCTTTAGCCGACAATAAGAATTCCTATGGTATTTTGAAACGCAGCTCTTATCGCCAATTTTTACCAGGGAGAAGTTACCTATACTGCGATAGCGTTGTCTGCCGGTTACAATACTTAATTCTATCCGGCCAAGCTGACTTTTACTAGAAAGCACCAACTAACGTGTGAATTTAATTTGAGAAACGACATAACTGACAGGATTTTTCTGCATAGATAGAGGCTTTTGAAATGGTTTCTTCATTCTTTTTTCCATGTTCTTTTTTCTTACTCCAGTGGCATATTTTAACTCAGACTCTTTTTGCCAGGCTTGATCTAGAGTACCTGTATAGCGAGAGTATGGACAGATGTGAAACTCCGAAAGTCCATCAGGCCTTCACCGAATCACCGATGCTTCTGCGAATAAAGTTAGGGCCCAGAAATGCAGCCAACCTATGAATTTCAATTATCCAGAACGATTTACTAATACTATTGTTACGAACCGTCGTTTATTAAGCACGTGTTTGACTCAGTTTTTGCATAAATTTACTCAATTTTGCGGAAGAACGCTCATTTATGTACATTCTTGGCCATCTTGGTTAGAATTGGAACCTGCAGACTGGCAGTGAAATTTTGTGCGTTAGAAGTTGGTTAGAAGGGTGGCTGCACTTTTGGGCACTAAGCCCTCCATGAAGCGATCTGTCCATACTCTCGCTATACAGGTACTCTAGCTTGATCCAAATGAAATACCTTAGTGCTATCCGTCGTAAGGTGCTAAGATACATGGATCATTCCAGCATTAAATTCTGAAGATAGCTTTCAAATTTTTGCTTCGACAAAAGGTGGGGGTTGATCAGAGGTGGTAGAGCCGGCACTCGACAGAATGATAGATGGTCCGATGGAAAATCCCTGGTGCATGCAAAAATTCTATTCCCAGTAGATACATACATTAAGTCGCTTTCACAGCGCTCTTCTCGCGCTCTGCGACGCCCAATCGCCATTACCCCCTATCCTCCCAGAGATCATCAGGCAATTGGCACCTTCTGATCTCCTCCTCAGCCCCTTGTCGCCAACCTTTCACAGGACGTCCACGCCGTCGCGTTCCGGGAGGAACCCAATCGAA